GGTGATATAGGGACAGTACGGCTCCCCGGGACCATGATTACTAATGATCGTAATGGGAACAGACAGGGTCACGTTAGGGTAATGTGGGACCTAAGTGGTTGCTAATAATGATTGATGGGACAAGCGTTGACAGGGTCACGTGAGGGGAAGCACGGGACCCAACGGGCGTGAAGTGTAATAAGGGCGGAGATTGACAGGGCCAGGTGCTGTGAGCGAAAGTTCTGGAATAGGGGCGTGGCCAGGTCATGAGCAGGATAAGAGCCGGCGCGGACCAGATCTGGGGGCTGTTGTTGTGGGGAATCGTCGCCGCCTTGGAACGGGTCGTCTTCATCGTCTTGGAGTGGGCGCCGAGAAGTCTTGAAGGGTTGGAGTTACGTTGTCTCCGAATAGAGTTGTCTAGATTACCCAAGTGTATATAGTCACTCGCGGTTACTCGTTATGTTGTCAGCGGACTTTATTCACAATAAATATACATCAAGGAACAAGACGGTGTCTCTGAGAGCTACATTACACATGTTTTACGGATGTGTCTTCTATGATGACTTTGCAATGTCTGCATTATTCTAAACTAGCCGGTCTGCTCCAGAATATAACACCTCATTTGCATGCACATCTAATTCAGGTCGACCTAATTGTATTCGACTTTAATCTGGTGTTTCCAGGATTTTCCAAGTTATTTGAGTTCTCACGTGAGTTGAGTAGTTATTTCGCAAATGCTTCTGAATAAGCTATTCCCAGAAATATTTGAGAGTAATAGGTCAGGACCACATTAATTACAAAATTAAATGTTGAATTTAAAAGTAAATGTTCCTTATACATAAAATAATTTTGATTGTCACATATTGGGGGATTTATTTCTGTTCTGGCAAAATTGTGACGTGTATTGAGGCCATCCCACGAAGCGAAATCGACCTGGAGCATATAGGCTCTAGGCTGAAATGGCTGCCAACTCGAGTTGACTAAAACATGGAAAAGCGGTAGGGGAGGGGCATATCACTTAACCTGTATTCCGTGGTGTACTGCCGAGTTTGGTCCTGTAATCCGCAAAAATGTTTTTGTGCCGATTAGTGTGCCGCGAATTAGCCACGCGACTCAATTAACCTACATTACAGGGGAGCATTGGCATGTGACTAGTAGATAAATCAATCCACTTTAAAATTGTGGATTATGAGGTTATAAATTTTTATATGATGCAAATGGTACAAATCTGCCATATGGGTCTATGTAAAAGGAGGTTTTTTTGCATTTAGAATAAATATCCAAGTAAAATAAATGCTAAATCTTTAAGTCCTAAACAAATAATCTTTGGAACATAACGAAAAATGTTCGTTAAACAAAACTTAGCTCCGCTTTTTCCCTGTAGCTCAACTCAAGCTCTCCATTAGCACTACCTAATACCTACTATAATCACCCAGGAATGTCTGTCCTTAACGCTCGTGACGTCACTACACATCGACCAGCCCCCCTCATTATATTCATGAGCATGTGACGTCCTCCAATTGGACACCCCCCTCATTAATAATCATGAGCAGGTGACGTCCTCCAAATGGACCCCCCCCCCCCCCATTATTACCTACTATAATGAGCCAAGAATGTCTGTGTGCGACGATTGAGACGTCACTCCACGTCGACCAGCCCCCCTCATTAATAATCATGAATAGGTTACGTCTTCCACATGGACCCCCCCCCCCCCCATCATTAATAATCATGAGCAGGTGACGCCTCCCCCCTCCTCGGGGTCAACTTACAACCCTCACTACAAAGGCAGAACCCTCACGTCACGTGATCTCCGTAACGCTGTTGAGACATCAAAGTAAAAAGGACGTCATGATGAACAAGGGATTATAACCTTCAAATGAAATAGGTCTGTGTCATAGCCCTTACAATTTGCACACGCATTGATGCAATGAATATCACGTCGCGGTCTGTGCTTTTCGCTTGCAAGTTTCAGATTTACTGCAATACACCCGTCCTTGGAGGGGCAATAGGCTCGTTCTATAGATCGTGGGTTGCGGTCTGCAAAGCGTTTTAACCCACCGTGGTGTTTTGCAAATTACGGGAGCAGTAGCAAACTACCAATAATCCTTGAATTACAGGGATTTGGGGATTATTGGATTGCTGGTTATTGGATTTATGCTATATTTTTCTCAAGTTTTGTGGCTTATGAAAATGCAGTGCAAATATCTTCCAATCAGACTTGTCGAAATCAATCCAAATCTGTAGACCAATAGATTATGAAACTCAGACTGGATGGTGGTCACACCTGCCCTTCGCATTCAACCCATCTGTCCTCGCGATTCAGCTAAAACTCAACTTAAGCGTGCCTGAATTGTGGAGAGTGGATGCTGCTCTTGCTGATATTTCCTTTGCTACCCAACATTTACAGGGCTGAAGGCTATCCCACACCTCCGATTAGCACGGTTTGCTACATATGGTGTGAAAGAAGTTCAACATACATACATGTTGGTCAATGGGCAATTGTTTGGAGCTGATTCATTTACAATGTCATGATATCCAGCTCCGGTGACAGCATTTACAGTTTTTATTTAAACGTTTATTCACATGGCTTACAAAGTCTTATAATTATTTGTGGTATTGAAGACATGTATTGTTGCTGACGTCACTGCTGTTTGTGATATAATGGCTCCACAGTTGCTCTGTAGGAATCATTATTTTGCATCCTATTTTTTGTATTCACATTGACTTTGCTCATTACAAATATTTGAGCAATAAAAGCTTGCATCATGACAAAATGTCACAATGCAAATTACAAAAATGTGACCGCTATTAACTGATTCGTGTAAAAGTATCAGGATGTAGACGATGTTTTAATCAATCGCATCCAATTCAAACTCAGTGTGCCTAATTGCCAATGCTGCAAGTTAATAAATTGCAGACTGAATCTGGCTCAGTTGGCCAAAGGATGAATGTCAGTGTGGCTCCAGTGTTGTATTATTGTGTTTTTTTGTTTGTTGAGGTTGCACCCGATTCAAGAGCCGAATGGCTCACAGGGCTATACCAAATAAATAAACTATGAAACTATGAAAGATATCACCTCGGATTATATGCAGTGAAGGATAACTATTCAGGAGACCTATAAAAATGTTTATCTTCAGAGTGTGTTTAGAATAAATATACCACTGATTCCTTAACTAAAAAAAACCCTTTCTCATACTTCTGTTAGAAACCATATTCCGCTGATATGCACTTTGCCTCTCGTGTTCTTATAACGTGTGGATTTTTTTCCAGAGGCAATAGTTTCCAATCATACGTGCCGTATATTAATATCAAGACCGATATTGCTTGCTTTTTTTCTAACTGGCGTTTGCTTATTTAATCAGAACACTTTATCCCAACAAAGAGTTGAATGTTTTGTAACGATTGAACTCAAAACAAGGGAGGGGCGCAACTTAGAACCTTCTCCAGCTGATGTTAAGCTCTTAAAAAGTTCCTTTAGTTTATTGGCCTTTCGCATGTATATTGAAACATAAATTCTAAATTTGGTCTGGCATAACATGTCAAATTTTTACAGTGATCCACAGTTCTTAAAAACACCGGTGGTGCGTGTAGCTATTTAGTTTGTTTCCTTAAAGGGGCCGTCCATAAATGACGTCACGCGATTTTGGACGATTTTGTACCCCCCCCCCCTCGTCACACGGCGTCGCAAAAAGTCAGACCCCCCTCAAATATGACGTCATAAAGCTCTGCCCCTCCCCCCCCCCAAAAAACTAAAACATGCTTCAAATCGCTTTAAACTATTGTCATTGCAGTGCGTATTTGATGTGCCGCTGCACCCTGACGTTGTAGGAGAAAACATTTATTAAAAAGTCTATGTAATTAAGTATAACGTGTTGTCTATATTTATTTAAAGTTGCGCATTTTGATGTGACGTCACATTTCTCAAACCGCCCCCCCCCCTCGTCACACATCGTCACAAATGTCTGACCCCCCCCCCCCATCCTAGGTGCGTGACGTCATTTATGGACGGCCCCAAATAAATAATTGTCAATAGTATTACTGTAGTATTTGTCCAATGAATTATTATTCATGCGTTAGGGTTGCCATCTGTCCGGGTGTGAACTGGACAATTCAGGAATTGGCACCCTGTGGTCGGGTGCCAGGAATTGATTTTCACAATCATCTAATACCAGGCTTCTGTTGAATTTTATGACGGCTTAATGTGCTGTTTTGATAGACCTAGGCTGATGGGTCTGTGTTTGATGTTTGGAAAAAGGTGGCACCCCTATTCATGTGCTTGTGTATGCTTGCGGTCATGCACTGGCTTTCCACTCTTGCGGTCTATGGGCCACCATAACGTTGCGCTGCAACAAATACTCCTTTTTGCGATCGCGCATAATTATAATGATTAAATAGCGATTTTTTTTTATAAAGACTACATGCGCGAGGAATTCGAATTTCCACATCAAATTGGAGGTAAAATCTTCAATATGATGTACACATTTGTAGATAATGTGTCAGCGAAGGAACTCTGGATGCAGAGATCAACTGGAGCTTACACCTGACGGAATATTGAAGTATTTTTCCTTGGAGGAATATAAAAACAGTTGCCCTTGTGTACATATCCAACTGAATATTGTATAAAAGTACTTTGCTTTCACTTTGTACGATAATACAACTCGTCCAGTATAATGCATGTATGTATTTATAAGCTTAACGATATTCAGCATTGAGCTATCAACCTTTCCTCATAAAGTTATGAAATCCGATCAGATTCCCAACTGCACAAACCCCATTTGGCAAACGTACGGCGTCCATTCATAGAAAGTCATCTCAAAATGTCAAAACTTCGATCATGCCGGAGAGAATCGTCGAAGCCACGCGCGCATGTTTCACTTTACCTGACGTGCTCAGCTCAGCTCATAATTGCCACGGATAATGTGACAGTTGTGATGCCCTGCCAAAGGGGCTACACGCTGGTGCAGAGGTGTGCTGTGATTGGCTCCCTGGGAGAAGCCAGCTGCATAATATAAGCGTGGGTGTTGTCCGTCCCTCGCCTCACTCTGCCCCAGATTCTGGGCGTCCCGAGTCACAGGAGTCTTCCACCGAGGCAGCCACACTCTGGGCTGGCTGAGAGCCCTTTGCTTTTAGCGCCTGCCGTCCTTCCGAAGAGCAGCAAGGATGCTTCTACTCGGTGACTACCCATCTGGCTCAGTCTGTCATAAACGCAAACACACGTGAGTCACGACGGGGTTTTTTTTTTTATATATAAGTTGTTATATGACGCGTCTAAAAATCATCAGTTGTTTACCAACTGTGGTAATAGGAATGCCATGTGTTGTGGATTATATGTAGCATGATAAAATTTTGCACCGTTGCATGAACCATGAAGGCTCGGATTTTTTTGTCACGAAAAGATTTTGTGGAGAAGCTTAGTGTCGACAGCTGCTGGGTCTAGTTTTAAATCGATGCCATTTACAAGTGAACAGGGACATTCGTTGTAGCTTAGTTTTGATTGTTATCACATGTAAAACACAATTTAACGTAGTTTTTTGTTACTTTTAGCAACTTTGTTGGACTGTTACTATGACGCTGTTATGTGTAAAACAAGTAGATTAATTCTCCCTGGAGCATTGACATGAGAAATAATGCAGAAAGCATGTAAATGTAATTTTTGTACTTAATGGACTTGACACACTGGATCTTCCTTGTACCTACACTTGTGCTGCCCCTATGGAGCACGCTTTCTATTACGCATTTTATAGTGCACCTGTCTGTGTGTCTCCAGTATGTCACGGTGGTGTTGTCTTTGTGCATGCTTTCGCACATTCTCTCATGCACCGTTGCATTTATAAATATAATTACGTTTCACAAGTTAATTCAGAGCGGTAATTCGAGGCGCAAAACAATAATTATGGATGCTGTGAGCTTACTTGCATGCACGATTTTCGCAGGGAGAGCAACAATATATATATTTTTAAATACTTAAGTAATGGGTGTTTGGCTAATTAAAAATACTTTTTCAATATCATAACGCTAATAAATCAGTACGTAACTTTTTTTAAGTGTTACATAGATTAACATTCCAAATGGTATGGTGGTAACTGTGATTGTATGATAAACTTCTTCGCAAAGAGTTGTAATATTAAAAAAAAAACATTCAGAGGTGTTTCATAACCCAAATAAATGGATCACCGATATTTAGTTCCATCAGCAGTTGGGCCTTTCAAACCGATATTTTCCAGCACCATTTATTTAAGCGGGTACACTTTAGACTTTCCGGGCTTCCGCAGGAGTGTTGTTTAGTGACCTTGTGGATGAACAATGCACTGTAAAGATGCAGACTTGTGTAGAATAAAGGAGGGGTGATTATTCAGTGTGAAGAGGCAATGGAAAAAGCTCTCTCGAGGCCCATGTTGTGGTAACTCCAAACACTGCCTTTGCTCCCCCCCATGCCAGATCCTTCTGATCCCTATGACTCCTCTCACCCTCTGTCTGTGCCAGGTGTAACATATTAATTCCCCCCCCTCCATGCACTCACCCCCTATATTCCCCTTCATGCCTCTGTGATGGTACCAGCTGGACTGTAAATAAAATCATGTTATACGGATTATCCAAAGAGAACAAATTGTCTTACTTTAAGATAATGCTTACAATAATTCTAATAAATGTCCTCCACCATGTAAACATTCTTGTTAATCTATTAAGCTAACGGTAGCACCTTGTTGCATTTGGTTTTCTTAAACGTAAGTCTCTGTGCCCCCTTGTTTTTTTCCATATTTACTATTCTCAAGACGCAATGTAAAATGCATCATTACGTGAGGAATGCAGGTGGACATGGTTAAAAAGATAACTTTTTGTAGGAAAATGGGGGGTGGGGGGCAGCAGGAGTACAAGTATCATTGCCCCTTTTAAACTTGGGAGATCCATCCCTGATGTTTTTTGTTCTCCTCCACAGGCGAAAGAATGTCCATTCGTGTAACGTGAAAGAGGAGGAATTTCAAATGGTGGACGTCTCTATTTCGGTAAACAGCAATTGCAAACGTCAATTATTGGCACAGATTGTCCCACATTTTCAACCAGCAGACATAGAACAACTAACTTTCGCGTAGGAATGAAAACATGATGTTGCGCTTTTGTAACTTTAATTTGTAACACTTGGCATGGTGGAATGGAAAGTCAGTGTTGAATTTGTCCTGATGCCATCTGCATGTGGACATGTTGATTCACATGGTCCTTATGCTGGAAAATGGTCTGCAGATTTGCAAGATATGTATTTTAATATAGAATTTCATCCCTTTTGTAAAACCACTGCCACATGAATGAATGTCATGCTATGTCGGTCATGGATGTTTATGACCGTACTTCACCTACCACTCTGCATGTTGATGATGGAGCTGGGGCCCAGGATGGGTCAGATATGACTCACCAATGATTAGCCACGGCCCAGAATTAAATTTTGGTCACATGAGTGTGATAACCACTCCACTCTGCCGATTCACCAGTATGCAAATGATAAAATTGTAAAAGTTGTGATTGCACATTTTAAAAATATTTTATTCAGAGTAATGAAATGAGATTATCTAGGCTTCAACTGATTTAACAGACTTCTCTGGATTCTGCAGAATGCCACGATTAGATGCACATTGCTTTCATTAATTCTCATTATCAATGCATTTAGTTTATATCAACAAAATACAATTCGTATTTATATAGGTTCTAAATGCCACTGGTCTTGGTGAAGCTCAATTTGGCTGTGTTAGTTGCGGTAGAGTTGCTTCGAGCTTTTCCCTATCTGCCAAACACAACGCTGGGTTTCCTGCCAAACAGGTCGTCCATTCAGCCTCCAAGCCAGACCAGTGAATGTGTGACGATAAAGCAAGTATATTTTTAGTAATCTGAAATTACATTTTGGCCACTGTATTATGAAGTCGGGGTGTTTTTGTACACACAGCTCAGGGATGTATCCAAACACCGAGCAGTTTTGTTTATTTCGGTCGCCGTTGACAGCAAATAGATAATTTTTCTGGGTGCCTTCAAAATAAATTAACACATTTTGTCCCATTGTGTTGTAATTGTGATTGATTTGTTTCCATTTAAGCCCTTAAATGGAGCTCAGGTACAGAATAGGCGTGTCTGCAATGTGGAACATCCTTTTCCAATGAGATCACACTTATTAAAAAAGCAACAGAAATGCAATAAAACAGTTACATAATTCACATACTTATTTAGAATAAACATGGATTGCACATATTTCTCATGCCACAGTGGGAGTTGCCACATAAATGTGAAACCACTATTCCCTGTCGATGGTGCTGTTAAGAGGTCCATCCGTTTTGAGGTTTCTCTTATTAGGTGGAGCAAACGCAATTTAATTTACATGGGCACACATTCTTGGGTCTTCATAACAAGCCACGTGCTCTGCAGTCACCATTCTTACTGTTGAGGAAATATTGTAAGTCTGGAAGGGGTCAATTGAACAATGTGATCCGTGAATCTTGTCTGTACAAGTTCTGTTGACTGTAAACAGAAGGCAGTAATAATTTTGGTGACTGAATGTGAGAACATCCATGTGACCATGGCTTCAGTAGTGCATTATAAATGGGGGATGGACTCATAAGAGTCGAGGCACTACCCCCTTTTCATATATTACATATATTTACCCTATATATTGTTGTTAATCACAGTGTAAACACGTAGAAATAGTATGAAATAATTAACCACAAGGTGCTGCGGAGTGTTCGCATTTATGACTTTATATTTTGCCATTTGGTGTATGAGGAGCGCAGACACATGAGCACAGAAGAGGGAAAGCGATGTGACGGTGATGCACATTTTATTCGAGAAAGCACATGATAGCTCTACAATGTGTTTTAAAGTTGTACGACGTATGTTCGACATATCAAAGAACCATAGCACAACTGCGAAAACCTACGCAGTAGGGAGCGTGGTGGTTCAACAAACGTTCTCTCTGTCCGTAGCAAGTAGCAATGCTTCGGGGTGCATGCGTGGCCTTGAAGATAAAACAAAGGCACCAATTTACCTGCTGTTGTACACCCCCTGCCCGAGGGGGACATCCTGGGCTGTTTATCTTTAGCATTTCTAAGGCAGGAGTGATGAGTACAGGGAGAGTTATCTGACCTCTTGAAAGGGTCCTTGCAAGCAGCCTGTTTAAAACCAGTCGCAGCTGGAGCGGGGCAGTGTGCGTACACAGACTGCCGAGAACTGGTTCGGACAGAGGGAAAAGCAAAGCAAATGTTGAATTAACATTGGGCTTTATTTTTTTTTGGTTACCTTGGACATAGGATGCGTTGTTCATAATTCAAGTGAAATGTTTGTGTCGTTATGCTTATCATGTTTTATTAGAAACGTCGTCTGTGTTTGCACAGACATCAAACAAAAAGAAGTAACTTATTTTTCATGAGCTCATTGTGCCAGTGTCTTTATTAATCTTTCAGTGAGGCACGTCTAAATAGATTGTCCATTTATATAAAAGTCTGCTACAATTGAACAACGTAGATGGCTCATTAAAATAAATTAAGCTTTAAAATTTGTATTTTTTTTGGAAAATAATATGCTTTGGATTGGCAAAACTTAAAAAAGGTATAACATGTTCACATTTTTTCTTTGTAAAAAACGGAATTTTGTCAAATTAGTTGGCTGATTTTTTTATGTAAAATTTTATTTGGCATTTGTTTTCTGAATGTTATACTGATTGTGCTTTCAGCATCATGTCATTCAGGGCAGTACAATTCTTCATGTTAGAGAACTGCCCACGGAAGTGGATATTACAGAGCTACCTCTGAGATATCTTCAAGTGACCTCTAGTCCACACAGTAGAGGCCAGTACTTTCACACCCACTGCAATATGCGAGTTCATTTTATAAAGCTTCAATCCTAGTTGCCTGCTCCCAGAGTTCTGGCTGTTATGTAACAGCACCCGCAGGGCTGTGATGGAAACCACTGCGTGTTACACCTGTCGGAAGGCTTCTTAATGCCCCCCAGACAGGGTGCGAGTTTTGTGAATACAGCACGGGGGTTGGGCAATGCCCTCGGTGACGGCAAGATGGTAGTAGTTTATATTCAGTATAGAATATCTTCTCCCCGTACTTTCCTTTCTATAACTTCTTTTAATTAAAAAGTCTCCATCATCTCCACTGTATAATTTAAATGTGTGGAGTGTGGTGAGAACCAAACGTATTTAAAAGATTACTATATATCCAGTTTGTATTGTATTCTAATTATTGCAGCATTCCTGTTGACAATAATTACTATAATTATTTTTTTAATTATTATTTTGTTGATTTTATTTTATAGGAATCCAACCGAACAATCCTATAAATTAAAGTTGTATCTGCCACCCGACCAACGTAATTGCCACAAGTCTGATACCAAATGGTTTTCTTTTTGGTTTGCCATTTTGCACAAAATATTACAAGTAGTTCGTCTATTACAAATACGAAAACAACACATCTAAAAATGTGCTCGTCGCGAAATTTTCTTCACAAGTTTAACGACATAAAATTATTGAGACAGATGTGTATTCTAAAACGAGTACATATCATTACTCTGACATGACAAACACTTGCATAGCCCAGAGCACATTGCACTATCAAATTACACACAGGGCACTGCATGCAACACCCAGCAAGTGCATACTCCACTCACACCAATCTGGTTTTGGCTTGATGCTACTGGACCTGTTACTGTCAATCATATATTAAAAGCATCTCCCCTCTCTTTCCTGGTCGCTCCCTCCCCTCCATCCCTCGTCTTCCCTCCCTCCCTCAATTACTTAGCTGACAGAAAACCGGAAGCTGTCGCCTAGCAATAAGCACTGCCCACGAGCCTCTCGACCAACCCAGGGGCCAGAGCAGCACAGAGCGGTAGCACGTGCTGACGTAAGTCGTGGTGTGCATTCAGTGATGTCATTTCAGGCCACTGGAGATGCTCCAGTGATTCAGGGCCATCCGTGCAGAGGGCCATTTGGCAGTCCAGGGCTGATGCCAGGAGGCTCATAAATAATGGGTGACCCAAATTTATGTGTTTTATTCGTTTCTGTCTTGAAGAAGCTTAATTAAAAGAGATTTGCAGTGCTTTGAAAGGTCATCTGTGTGTTTTTTTTTCCGGATGTGTCATTTGCCAGAGCCATCTGTGTATTACAAGTGCGCGTATATATTTCAGATGCATTTCCCTTATCTCAAACAGGTGGGAATCCACTGGGGTAGGGTGTCTCTTTGACAAGCAATACCGGGAGACGTGTGCAAGCGTTGCCCAATCGATTTGTTAAATTAGAGTCATATTTCTCTCGTGACATGTTGTGGCGATTCTCATCCAGATCATTGCATTTATTATTGCAGCAATAAACGAATTGCTCTTTATGCGTACCCCGACTACAGCAATGTAATTGCCCTTTGAGCACAATTGTCAGGAAGCAACACAAGCGGTAAATATGTGCCAGGCAGCAGACATGGTGCTGTGCCACTGCAAGCGGAAGGGGAGGGAAAAAACACACACAAAGTCTCGTGTGGCTGGGAGGAGGTGGCTGGTGGTGGGTAGTGGGTGGGAGGAGGAGGTTGTTGGTGGTGGTGGGTGGGTGGGGGACACGAGGCTCTCTGGCCGCCCTCCTGTGCCCCTCCCACACTGCACACGCGCCCGACGTCACTGCAGGGCTGTACATGGCAGGCGTCACGCAGCAGCAGCAGCACAGGAGTATTTAAGGGCGCACGCCAACGCGCCGCACCTCTGGGGCTGCCACTGCGCCATCCCCTTGGCTGACGCTACCGCCGCCGCCGCTACCGCCGCCGCAGCAGCCGCAGCTATGCACGACCATGGGGACCGTCCTCCCACGAGCCGTGCCCCCCGTGTGCACGCCTGGACCTCAGGCCGACGCAAGGGAGCCAGGGCACCGTCGCATAAGCAAGGGAGCCGCAGGAAACCAGCAATGATCTTCTGCATCTGCTTCCAGGCGTCGTCGGGTGCTACGGAAAGCCCCGAGGAGGAGGAGGAGAACGACGAGGCCGACGAGGAGGTGCTGGCTCCTCCCACTCGGCTGGTCGCCGTGGATATGGAGCGGCTCGTCCCGCCCAGGCCAGACGTTGTCTGGGAGACGGAGGAGCACGATGGTCCACCCATGGAGGTGCTCCAGGAGGAGAGGATGGTGGTGGCTGGGAGCGATGCACGACAACTCGAACGCGACTCGGGTAAGGGAGCTCGCGCTCGTGTTATTATTTTGTGCACCCTTATAACGGTGTTGGGGGTTAGAGCGCACGTTTTTGGATTTGTTGCCGGTGTGTATTCTTGCCTCTGCCTGGATAAATTGTTAATGTATTTATTTATTTGCATGTTTATTTGTTTTAGACACGTGTCACCACTCCTTCCCGGTGCTTGATTTCACGACAATGTACCTTCACCAGGAGAGCGATGGTGAGCCAACCTCACTCACTCCAACTGTGGGACCCCTCCTCTTCATACAACATGACCACCTCGTTAGAGTAATGGAAGTAACAGCTAGCTTTCACTCTATATGTATGTGTCTGTGCCCTCTGCTCCATGCCATCCGACACAAATTTAAGCATTGTTTATGAGCAAAAAAATACTTTAAAATCTTCGTCGGGACCATTGTAGTGACATCACTGCAACATCAATCTTGTCCCGTGTGGTAATGCCAACGTAGCATGGCTGATTGTGATTTAGATTTTTATTTTTTTAATCATTAACGAATTTTGAAACCAGTGTTGGGTTAACCTAGAGCACTTTTTCACTGTTATCTAAAAAAAATAACAGTGAAAGTATTTGTCTCAAACATTCATAATTTACTATCAACTTTCAACTCACTGTTAAATAGTCAGCTGTCATACCCCTAACAGTGTTTAAATAATAAAGATATTCAAATAACTATGGTGATAAGAATCAGATAACACTCACCATATGTATTTTACAATGAACATTTTTTTACACAAAAAGAACATTCCTTTTGTGCCTAGATCGCGAACATCATTGCGTTATCCAATTAACACAATTCCAAAAATATTAAATTAATCTGCATTGATGCTTACGTATGTATGTGTGTGTTTTTCTATCAAGTAATAGACTGTTCATATAATATAGCACGTAATGCAGTATTTATATAGAACTTAACACGTACCCATGCATACATTTCTACATATAATCAGAAGTAATGATAACATCCATCTAAATAACTAATTAACGATCCTTTGTCAATCTACTGCTGGATGAAGGCAGCCCCATGCCGTGTTGGTCATGGGGGGACGTTTAGCCATACTTCACCCAACTAGTCGGTACGAGTTGGTGAAGGGGGGTAAAGCACTGATATAACATCAGTGGTGAGTGATATCCTCATCCCATACTGCCCAGTGCGGTGAAGTATGGTCAAGACAGCCCCTATTGCCGACACGGCATGGAAAAGCTCTCATACAGAAGGAATTATTTAATTCATTATTTCTATTTCTAAATGTATACCTTTGTTTAAATAGCATCCTCGAATGCGGCTTTTCTTTTGTAATCTGTTGATTATTCTTAGAAAACGTGCTGCGTCAGCTGAAGAGCACTGGGTTGATGCATGCGTTGCATACGTGATACGGAGACCTGTGTTGTGTGTATGTGTGAGCTCGAACGACCATAATGGTGGGGAGCAGTAGTCTAGTGGTTAGCGAAATAACCTACGACCCGGCAACCTCATTTCAATTTCCACTTCTCACAGTCAATATTAGGGAGACATATCTGAAGCAGTCTCCTTTAGGTGTGGGTGTGGTTCTCACCACCCCCCCCCCCACCTCGTGCGAATTTTTGGCATTAAAAGGTGCTCGTTAACAGCACTTACCCTAACAATCTGTTAAGGATATAGAGGGATCTTTTTCTGTGATGGGAAGGCCGTGTGTTGCACATGACGCTAAACGCTCTGGAAGCATCGAGCAAGCTATATCAAATACGTAGGAATCAATATGGCCCATGACTCACCTCCCACAGTGCAATAATCCACATAAAATGACACATTGGTTTGGCAGCCAAAGGCTATGCGACACAATTACTGCAATAATCCGATATAGCTTTAAACTTTATATTACAAACTGCCAGATTGCTTGAATCTGACTGCCTTGGGATTATGGTTTTCCATTCATATTAGTGGGAATAGTTAATTAAAATCCATCTGCACACTGTGGCGAATAGGACAGATGACGCTTGTGTTGAGCTGGATAAAAATTCCGTGAATGAATGCACAAAGAATTTGCATTTTTTTTAATCATAGCTCTTTGCAGACCGTCATCCAGTTTTAAGATATGAGTGGAATACAAATGTCACGTAATGAATATTCCAAGTACATATATATGTATATAGTAGAGATAACAAAATTATCATTTGATCTTGTATGCATGGTTGCACATGCATGAATAGCATGTCTGCATGCATATGTGTCCCTGTGGGGAGTGGTGGTGCAGCGGTTAGCATGCTGTGCTACAAACCTGGTTATCCGAGTTCGATTACCGCTCACGGCCAACACCAGTAACGATTATCTGAATCGGTTCTGGGCCTCAGCTAAGTCGACTCAGCCTCAAATAAGTACCTGATGCGGTGTGTAAAACATTGCCACTGGGGAGATGAATGCGGTCGGGCGTGGTGCTGGCCACCCACCCCCTTGTCTGCTGTGCCGGCTTTCATAGGTGCTCACTCACAGCACTTGCCCCTAGAGTTTGTTAAGGCTACACGGGGGATCTTTGTCTTTGTGCCTGCTCGTGGATATTTGTACGTTTGGCTTTGTGTGTATGTCAATGTTTGCCTGTACGAATTTGTGCGTGTTTGTATGTGTGTTCGTGCATGTGCGTTTGTGTGCATGCGCGTTTGTGTGCATTTCGGGGATGTGCTTGCAAGTGCGTGCACGCTCATTTGTATGTGCGTGCATATATACACGTTTGCCTGTATGAGGTGCATCTCGTGGTGCCCGTGTCCTCAGAACCGATCACGTGCCGCTCATGGAGAGGGGGGATGGAGGGTGACGGGGAAGCTCACGTATCCTGGCTGCTATCGAGCCTGATGCTCGGCGACAGAGACGCTTCCACGCCACCTTCCTCCCAGAGGGAGCGCTCCTGTCACTCCTGGGAGGAGCAGCGCTTTATCTGTGACATCGAGGCACCCCCATCGCCCCCCAGCCTGCACAACTTTGTTAGGTAAGCATGGGCACATGCGCGCACGCACACAACGAGAAGGATCCCCTGTGAAGCCTACGTAGGCTGTTGGGGCAAGTGCTGTTCGCGGGGGTGGTGTGGCAACAACTATGTTTGGCTGCCTTTATTTCCACAGTGCTCATGGTTACGCACTGCACCAGGTCCTGATTTATTGCGACCTAGGGGAGGCCCATGACCAGTTCACACACAGCTGCGCATGCACACGTAAAGATCCTTCTTAAATAGTCATATAGACATAACAAATGCTCTTCGTGAGCACCTATTCAAGCTGGAAATGGACACCAATGGGTGGTTTGGGCCGTTCCACCTCTAACATTTTTCTCACCAGTGCTGATGTCCGTAAACTGTAACATGGTGCTCATTTAGGTCTGAGTCAACTTAGGGACGGCCGAATACACAGTTAACTAATATAACTCGGCCTGCTGGGAATGTAGTGCAATACATTAACGACTGAACCACCGCACACAACACATACTAAGTAGTGATTACGTTTCGACATGGCTTGTGCTAAGCTAGGGGTGCTTTGAAGTCATGTACAGTATAGCGACAAAGGTCTGCAGGCAGGTGGTAAGGAATGTGTTATGTATTACAACAAAGACAAGGACTGTTTTTCCTTGTCTAAACAGACCATTGGGGCAAGTGTTCTGATTTAACAATTGTTAAGGCCAGCACTGCACATGAAGGGGTGGGTGGCTAGCATCATGCCCAGCCATCGTTGTCTTCCAAGGTACTCATTTAAGGTCGAAGTCGACCTAGGGAAGGACTAGAAGAAGTTCAAATATTTGTCACTGATTTTGGTTGTGAGCAAGAATTAAACTCGGGTCGCACATTTCATAGTACATCATAATAACCACTATACTACCACTTCCCATTCCACAAAAAGACAAAGATCCCTCTATAGCCGTAACATACTGTTGGGGAAAGTGCTGTTAGCAAACACATATAGAGGCCAACACAGCTCACGAGGAGGATGGGTGGCCAGCACCATGCCTACCCACCTTTGTTTCCTCAGTGGCAATGTTTACACATCGCAACAGCTACTTATTTTGAGGCCTTACTACAATCACACATACATACATACACACGCACATAATTGCTAGCCAGTCATGCTATTTATTTATACGTCATGAAAATTATTCACAGTGAGTAAAATGAAATAGCAGTACATGCGTGCACAAATGAGTACGCCACGTGCCTCTGTGTCATTGGAGGGCGGAGTCATCGTCGCCACGCATGCCATACGCGGAACTTGCCTTTGCGTGCCTTCCATTAAAAGTGACCCAATTAATCAATGTGTGAATTAATTAACGAGCGATGTGCCGGTTGCCCTCGGCATTTGGTTGAGCGAGGACGATGCTCAAGGGTTTTGAAGGTGAATTACAAACGCTTGACCTTTAGGCTTCTAACACCAGGTTACCTAGGAGCATGTAAATAAAGATAGATCATTTATGAGTTACGACTTTAATTAGTCATGCATATGACTAGTATGCTTAGTTGTCAGTGTAATGGATACATACAGGATATGTTTATGCGTTTTTTTTTCTTCTAAATTGCTATGTCCAATTGTGTGACATTGGTACCAAAATTTGTGTATATTTGTCAGCGTTTCGGTAGGAACCTGACATCTTTGCCGGGAAGGTTACAGCTTAATGTAGAACTAAAAGAGTCTGACTTTAGCAGTCGGTGTAATAAACATAGGCTGTCAACATTCCACCAGCAGTCATTATCATTCATACTGCCTTTTCGTATGTAAAAAATGTAAGAAGCCAGCGTTTTGGGAATGGCTTTTCAGAGGAGTTGTTCAGCAAAAAGCTTTTGCTGGATACATTGTTAAAGGATAAGGCAGCCTTAATAATGCTAGTTGGTGTGCCAGTGATTGGTGTACTTTAAAGCCACAGAGAGTGACAAAGGTTGCAGTTTTCCAGCCTGTAACTCAGCAATTTAGTTCTGTCAGTGCATTTTTCTTGTATAATTACCATTGCAGATTAAATGCTTTCACATATATTTCTACATAGATAAGACATGTATTTACAGAGAATGGCATGAACGCAACATGCATAGTGGCATTGTAAAATATTCATATGAAGAATGTTGAGTTTATTATCTTCAATTGCCATCGATAGCTCTTTGTCATTCCACTGCGGAATGAAGGCCTCCCCCCACCCTGTTGGTTGTGGGGGTTGTTTGACCATACTTCACCATGATGGTTAGTGTGGGTTTGTGAAAAATAGGGATTGGTCAAGACTGGTTCAGACATCATTTGTCACTGTTGGTCGTGGCCAAAAATCAAACACAGGATGACAGGTTCACAGCGCAGTGCGCTAACCACTGTGGCACTATTCCACCGGTGCCATCAATTACACCTACATACTCATTGCATTTGAGTGTATGAGGGTAAATGCTGAGATCGGGTTTTTAATGAGTATTAATTCTGAACCAGAAGACGAAGCTCCTCGCTGGGCTCGTGCCGGGAGGAGATGGATGAGGCAGCAATGGTTCGTCTCGCTCGCAAGATCCAGGCCCTCAAGAAGAAGATCCACCACTTTGAGGAGCGTTTTGAGGGGGAGCGGAGGTACATGGTGAGTGCTGCTCCTCAGGCTACCTCCAGCATAATCACATGAACGGTGGACACGTAGGTCACCCACCTTGTGTGTGTGCTATAGCTTAGCAAGTCCGTCGGTATTTGATGGGACACATCGCTATAATAAGTGATGGATGTTGGATTAGACGTGTATTGACTGTTAAGAAAATGTAGTTGCCTTGGGTGGGACATTTCACTAGAAGGGATGATGGCTGGTGATGTTTGCCTTGCAACAGGGACTTATGCATAAACGGGCTCCCATCTGGTAATAAATAAATCTAATGTATGTGTGTTTGTGAAGTTCTTTGCTATAAGCTGCTGAAGACTGCATCTTGCAAAATGTAATTCTTCAGCCCATGTGCATGGAATGTCTTGCTGCTGTGTTAAGGCAAATGGATGAGTAAGTTTCAGAAAATCATGATACGTAATTGCTTGTAGATGTAGGATTTCTGTTGAAGTTTAACTCCAATGACATTCATACCACCCGCTGTGCTGTTGAGTAACAAGTTTCTCCTCCTCCCTCCTCCCTTTTTCTCCAAGCCTTCACATAGTGATAAGGCGGCCACCCCAGAAGTGCTTAAGTGGATGAACGACCTTGCAAAGTCTCGCCGGCAGATGAAGGGTGAGCATCAGACCCTCACGGTTAAACTTCTTCCTTTGGTCGTCACAATAACGGCTGACTATGAAACGGAAAAAAAAAACTCTTCCCACTCCTTCCTTTCGATTGCTTTCTGTAGCCAGCCCTGCATGTTTCATTTTAAACCTTCCTCCTTTACATCGTCAATCCACCTGTTGAATGGATGGCCTCTGCTTCCTGCTTCCTTGCACATGACAATGCAAGGCCAATTATGGTGATCTGTTATCCTCCATATATTTTTACACGCCCAAGGAGAGAGAACCGTTCTCTTGTGCTTGTGAAACACCACTGCTCTGAAACATGGTGCTGCAGTCACTTTGCAAGTGGTAGTTCTAACGCTAACCCCATCTTCTTGTTCGCATGCATGGTTATGTCACGCCCATCTAGTACACCCATTATCACATTCCTACGGCCCCATTACAAATACTAATTGGTGGCAGTGTTTTTTTTTTTTGAACAGCAGTGTTTCACTACTTCCACACATTAGGGTGCAACATTTCAATAAACAAATCGAAGTCAAAGCATGTCCTTGCTTTCATGAGAATTGCAATTGTCTTAAGTGGCTCTGAGATTATGGTATCAATTCTATATTCCAATGCTGGGTTCCAGTCTGGATAGGCCAACCACTGTTGACTTCTTACAAGGTATTACTACTTATTTGATCAATCCTGGCTGCATGCTGATGGGTTGATCTGCATTTACCACAGACCCTCTACATTGCATATTGAGCATTCTGTCAAAGCACCATCCATCCGCATGAATTCCCAATTCAATCCTGGATCAATTTGAAGATCACACCATCTTCAAAATGTTCCATAGACTAATCCCTGATTATCTCTCCACGCTCCTCTGTATACTCCACTACTCACTCTCCACTCCAGCAACCAAGGACTTCTGTTGAAGTTGCCAGTCACCCTTCTGGTCATTGGGAGGTCGCTCATTCTCCTCTTCTACCCTACAGTCTAGAACTCCCTTCTCCAAACCATCAGTGCTGTTGGCTCCCTGCCCCTGTTAAAGTCCATGCCTACAGGTGCAAGGCCTTCATTTTTACCTCTAGCTATGACTGACTGCTTCTTACTTTATATACAATAAATAAATATGCCTACTGTTTCTTTGGATGTGATGGCATTGAGATGCTATTTTCATCCACATTGTATTGTAACTGTAATAGACCCAGATGGATGAGTCACGGGCGCTGCTACAGCCCGAGCTGGTGCTGAGCGGCACTATTTTTTGTGTCGCGCGTGCGCACGTCAAGCAGAGCTGAAGCTGCAGCAGTCCGTGGAGGAGAACGTTGATGCGAACACGCGACGGAGAAGCAACACGCTACCCAAGAGCTTTGGCTCACGGGGACACGTGGACTCGGGCTGCCGAACCTGTCATGGGAAGGTGGAGTCTGCTGAGGAGGCCGGGGAGGAGCTTAGCAGGAAGGCTGCTGAAAATGAGGTCATGGCCATGACGCTGCAGAGCATCATGGAGAGAATCTGCGAGAAGCGCAATGAGGAGCAGAGGCCTGAGGATGTGACGGTGAGCCCTGGCCCCATGTGGCTTTGGAAATGTCTTAATCATAACACATGATTGGCAATAGTAAAGTGAGAGAAGCATAATATTGCATGACCTTGTTCATTGTCAGAGTAAATAATCCTGAAATCCTTTGAGTGCTGCAGTTGGTTTGGTGATCACTTTGAACATTGCCCCCTTCACCAACTGACCTGAGTGGTGAAGTTTAATCAGCTAACCCCTACCACTGACATGGCATGGGGAGGACTACATCCAGCAGTGGATAGACAAAGGACATAAAATGATTCAGCCATAGTCAATCCACTGCTAGATGAAGACCTCCAAAAGCCACTTCTCCCGATTCCACGATTTAATAATCAACTTTGCAGCTGCAGATTAATTGATTACAAAATGAATCTTAACTTTAACCATTGTGAATGTTGCAGGCCATGACCAGAGAGCAAATTGCAGCTGAAAAAACCGCCCTGCAGAAAGGACTGCTGCAATTCGAGAATGTTCACGGAAGGCTGGTGAGTGTCACGTGAAGATAATAAATAATAACATAGATAATATAGCAATGTTGGTTAGACAGTATGAAAGTTCAGTGTTCGCATGAAAGAGCATCAGAGGTGCAATGAATACTCGCAGACTCCGGTAACTGCTGCGGCAGAACATTTATGCCAGGGAGAGGGCTGCAATGTTTACTCTGACAATTTCGGAGTGGTATGTAAAACCAACTTTTATTGGCAAAGAATAATTGCGAATACATTTAGAGAAAATGAAAATAAATTTAACCCGAGCTGAAATTTATAAATGAGTGTGGCTTATAAACATTAAACATTTGTTAAAACATCACCTATTTTATTAATATTTTTTTCCCCTCTTTGTGCATTATTATCGATGAATGTATTAAGTTTTGTTATTTGTTCTAAAAATAAGGTGTTTTTTCTTTCGGATATTATAAGAACAGATTTGTGCCATGTTACACGACGCGTGTTGTGCTGAATTGCCCATTGCTCTTTCCTCCCAGGTGAGCAAGCAGGAGAAGCAGCTGCTGAAGCCCCTGTACGAGCGCTACCGCATGGTGAAGCAGCTCCTCACACGCTCGCGCAATTTCCCAATCATCGTGAGTGTTTGGCAGCAGTGACTCCTATTGGGCGTAGAGGCAAGCCCAGAGAAGGGAGACTTCTTATTTGTTCTTCTTGAACAGAAGTCGCACTGGGGATACATTCCACGTGTGCACAACATGCTCGGTCCAGCCACAACCTCTGAGTATTTCTCCCCCAAATGGGGGCCGATTAAAGTTACTCACGTTTAGTACTCTACAACAGTAGGGATAATGGCCGGGAGCAGTGGGTTAACTCGGGAAGGGGGAGAAAGGGGGAGGGAAGGGGGGATGGGCGTGGAATATAACCCAATGAAACTTGAGAAAAATAACAAATGCGATGTCCAGATCAGCCTTTTTTTCCTTTCCTTTCCCCCGCTGGGAGCAACGACGATCAGATTTTTCCTATGGTGGTTCAATGTCTGACGTAGAGTTCCCCACCTCAGCCTCCATTCCTACTGTGTTCAGCAAAAACGGGGCAAGAAGGGAAACTCTTAATGGGGAGGGCAGCATCTCGGGTTCAGGATACCCGCATACTCCCTACAGTTGGTATTTGTCCTATTACACTGGGCCCTGTCGAGGCAATGTGGAGTTTGCACCATTGGCTCTCGGCCTCCAAAGTAGTTTTGCATTGCCCCAGTCGAGTGCTATTTTGAGTTTGGAGGTACAGTTCATTCTCAGTCATTCAGTGTAAATGGAGAAGAGGTGGCCTGTATAAAACAAAAACAAAGATAATGCAAAATGTATTATATTTGGGTATGGAAACGTATTTATTGTTTAACTTCGTAGAATGGGGTTGAAAACATAGATCGTCTAACCTGTTTTATTGCTTGAATCGGCTTGCTTGCTTTCACGTGAGCATTTTTACTTCGCCTCGAAGAGTGAGGAGTGACTTATACTGAAACTAGTGTCCACGTAACATATATATATAAAAAAAATTCACAAGCTCAGTTAATCCACAACTAATTCACCCATGGGTAATCAGACAGTTAACTATCCATTAACTTTACTTGACTATAACTGGGCAAGCAAAGGGCATTGCACTTTTACCATCTCATATTGTGGCTCAATTTGTATTATTGATTACAGGGGGATTCCTGCTATAGCTTATTTTGAGACACAGCTTCCATTCAGACACAACTCCAAAGTCTTTACACCATTGGCTTCTCATCAGCATAAACATACATCTGTGCCAGATTCTCATCTGCGTGTCTCTTCTGGAAAGTACGCCACGAGATATTAGTTGGAATGTGCCTTTGGTAATCGTCCCAGAGACGCATGGCGTTTTAAAATAACTCGGTGTGCAGCTCAGTTAGCATGTGACAATGTGTCATCCTGGCATGCAATAGCCGTACATGGGTAAGAACTGATATTTTTGTCAAAGTTTAAAACTTATATTGTCGCTATAAGTTTTAGAACTGGTGTCATATGTTGTAAATTGCAGAATGCGTTAAATGCTTTTGGGCATTGTTTATAACAGCGGTCCCCCAACCTTTTTGGCACAAGGGACCGGTATCGTGGAAGATAATTTTTTCACGAACCAGGGGGGGGGGGGGGCTTCATCATTGGGTCTTTCCCCCTTTTCAAAGAAGCCCTCCAGCGACGTTTGTTTTTACTCATTTTGGCTACTAGGGGTTAGCTTGTGGGCTTACCAAAACTGACTGAGACAAGTGCGCAGTGCGGGAAAGAGGCACGGATGGAAGTGGTAAATAATAAAATAATGGGTGGGCCACGTGCGGACTCACCTCTCACCTCCTGCTGTGCGGCCTGGTTCCGAACAAGCAAGGGACCGGTACCGGTCCGCGGCCCAGGGGTTGGGGACCCCTGGTTTATAGTATTTTGTGCACATGAAACTGTACTCAAAGTTTAATGTGGACGGATGGACTGATTGATTATAACAATTAACTAATCTCCAAACAACACCACCCGAATTCTCATTTTTGCTCTCGTTCAATGCATTTCTGAATATTTATCCCATTTGAGGTGATTTATACTACACTCACTAAGCCGCACAGGCAGCTACAATGAACAGCAATTAAAACCAGTGAAAATAATTAAACAGAATAGCAACCCAATCTAAGTTTAGCACTCCTGTGTCTCAAGGTGCTGCAGCACCTTGAGCTACTGAATTGTTAATTAGCAGCTTATTTCTGTGGGGGTCCATAAAAGTAATGTTAAAACTGTTTTTTTTTTTACAAAACAAACTCATTACAATTACAGTACCATGTGAATTTGTGTATCATCTGTATGTGATCGCATCCCAAGATGTGGCACAAATAGTTGCAAGCGCAAGTACAAAAGTACGGAGGTGATTTGGCCTAGTGGTAGCACATTCGTAGCTTGTTGCAGAGGTTCACGGTTCACTCCGGCGGCCTCCCTGGTTATTGCCGCGATTTGTATGAACCAAAAGTATGCACCGTCTGCTATAGAGTGCATGTTAAAGATGCCGTAACACCATTAACAAGAGGAGGCCATTGTGTGACGACATCGTGGTCCAAATTTGCAAAATTTGAAAGATTACCCATAAGGGTAAAAAACGTGATAAGTTAATAAATACGAATTAGATGTGCACACATTGTGGTGAGTAGGAGCCATCAGCAACTCAGTGCTGACATTTTCCTCCTTGTGCATTTTCATTACAGGGCTCTCCCGCCAGCCTGCGTCGTCACCTCCTACTCAGACCAATCATCGAAGGACAGACCACACAGTTCTCTGACGACATTAAGGTACACTCACCTTTTCACGCCTAATGCATCCAGCTTCAAGTAACGACCAAGGTTAACGGCGTGAAGCTGCGGCTGTTGACCACAGCGGAATGAAGCTCGCATTGTTTGACCATGTGTACGCGACTCGCTGATGTAACACAAGCCAATTGTACATTCGTTATTACGTGGGAGAACATGTGAGAGCCACCCAGGGTACATGTCAAGCAAGTTGCTTTGGCACGAGCATGCGGTGGCTTAGGGTTGAATGGCTGGCTCCCGCCAAGGGTCGGTCAAGAGCGTTGACTTGCTTTTGAGCGTGTGTTTACAGCTACCTTCCTGTTTACCTATCTTCAAATCATCCCGCTTGCAGGAGGACACGGAGGATGCTGACAACGTGCAGCGGGGATGTCCCGATGGATGGACGGCTTCGGACACGGAACGAAAAAATGAGGGAGGGTCCATGGAAGACCAAGGAGAGTACATGGGAGAGGAGGTGGAGGAGGAGCTTCCCGAAAGAGATGGAGATTGTCAGGGTCAGCTCTTCTTCCTGCGCCACTCGGAGGACGAGAGCGATGCGGAGGGGTACGCGCCACTCATGGAGGAGGCATCCGGCATGAGCAGTGCCATCTCCAACGTCCACTCGCTCTCACTGTGAGTGTCGCATACCGTTGTGCTGATTTGATCATCATGAGCATAGACAACCCGTGTTCAAGATTTTAACTCGCAACCATTCGGTTTTGATTTGGACACTTTTTCTACACCATCACTTGTACGTGTACACGTACATATCACAACTTTGTGAATCCAATGCTGGATGAGGACCCTCCCTATCCCATTTTAGTATAGGTTGAAGGCAGGTGGCATTGACTTGTGAGCATAGAGGTATAGCACAACAAAGGATTTTATTTCACAGTCTGCCAACAATTTCACAGCTGCCAACAACGTAACTGCGTAAGAATATGACGAATACATATTACTTTAGGTGTTTGTTTTTATATCAGCTGAATGAGACAATGAGGGAGATATATAAGTCGGTACCATTGTTCAAAAGGTCATTTGACTCGGATTAACGATGCGACGTTTTGTTTGTCTCTTAGCTCTGAGCTCCTAGAGCAGCTGAGGGAGACAAAGGCAGAGAAGCGCCATCTTCGGAAGACCCTGCGTGACTTTGAGGACCACTTCTACAGACAAAATGGAAGGCAAGTCAGGTGCTTTCAGAAAACTAAACTCAAAATATGGCATTCTGAGTGAAGCGTGTGTGAGGCCTGGCCTCAGTATTTTGTAGACGTAGATTGATTCACCTCCCCCCCCCCCCCACAAAATCCATGAACAGACACGATTAATTTACTATTCGATTACAGAATAGATTCTGTGTTGTGTAATTGGTACTGTCCCATTTATATTATCTGTTTGGTTCTGTCTTAAATATAAAGCCGTCCCTTGGTGTGGACCAATCAGTTTCAAGGACAATGCATATATTATCATAGTATGTTTTTTGTTTGCATTTTGACTGCAGGTATTTTGGTTAATGCAGACATGAATCCTTGTAAAAAGGTTTCAGTTTTGTTGCCAGAAAAAATGAAAAACGCTATTACATTTTGGTACTGGCAAAGGAGGTCTAATGATGATGATGGTTCTGTCTTGTTTGTTCTCACTCATTCTTTATATTAGCCTAAAGCTATTATGTGCATGTATTTTGCAACACCTTGTAAATACAGTGGTACCCCGGAGATCAAACTTAATTCGTTGCAGAAAGCCATTCAAACACCGATTTGTTCGAACACTGAATTAATTTTCCCCATAAGAATTAATGTAAATGACATTAATTGGTTCCAGACACAAGAAATCTCTCATTATAAAGCATTTTTACACGAAATTTATAGTAATCACATGCATAAAATCATACAAAAAAAAACAAACAATAAATAAATGAATAAATATATGGAATAAATGAAATAAATGAACATTGAACTTCACTTTACCTGTAGTAAGGAGAGTTGATGGCTTGAGTGGAAGGTGGTGAGGAGGAGGAGGTGGTGGTGTTATTGTTAGGAAGGGGAGTCCCCTTTGTCTGGGCAAGCGTCATGCACACTGGGCCATACGCGTCTCAGCCGTGTACAGGTTCTTTCAAGTCGCGATTGCCGTTCGACCTCCAAATTTCGTTCGGTTTCTGGGGCAAAAAATGTTCGGAAATATGGTTCGAACACCGATTTGTTCAAGTTCTGGTGCGTTCGATCTCCGAGGTTTTACTGTATTACAATTTTTTTACTGAGAATTTGATGTGTATCGTGATCAGAAGAACCTATTTTATTCAATGAATTTAAGTTTAACTACAATCTCGCATTCCTGCTGATATTTCACAGGTAAAACGTTTCCAATGTACAACTTCCAATTAATTCCTGTAGAGAAACAAACCTAATAGCTTCCAGCAAATAAAATGAATAAATAATGTGTTTAATGTTATTTTTAAAGCCCTCGGGAGGAGATGATTTTGCTGTTTAGTCACAGATTCACTGTAGGCGACCCCTTCACCCACAACCTCATTGGTTCCTGTACGACGGCTGAGGTCGTCGTGAATCGAACCCTCATGTCCCATGGGGCGCAATGTTATACATTGGGGTTCCGTTCCTGGAAACCCATGACGTACAATAAAAGTACCAAAATTGACCACGAAAATAAATGAAAATAACCCGAACAAACGTTTATTGTTACTTAACATAACTATTACAAACATTTATTAAGTAAAAACAAACATTCACATTTGAAAATGCGTATGTACTTTTCTGCGCGTGTATCACATTTCCTCTTTTCGTACGTAGCGAAAGGCGGAAAAAAACTTGTCGCCAAACGACTCGGCGTTGGCAGCAGTCATTAGGCGGTCGTAGATACGAGTTTTGGTCGTTACTGTGGGGGTCTTACTATGAGATCGACAACAGGCACCACCACACCCTTCTCCAAGCATTTCACATTTCGGTTAGAAAGACCATTCCGTGCTCCATGAAGAATCATGGGGGCCCCCTCATTCGCCTTCTGGCATAACTCCCGATTCGCCCGAGCTGCTTTAGAACACCCGAGTCTAAAATTGAGGAATATGGAAGGGGAGTTCACCCAGATCTGGGGCCCCCTCATGAATGCCACTCCAGAGACCCCGAGTTTACTTGATTGAACTTGAAATGAGATAGACTCCCTCCCCCCTCTTTCCTCTTTCCTTCCTCAAAGAAAATGGATCTGACGCACGTACCACGTAACGCTATGGTCCTACACGCCTGCGTTGGTTGTCTATCTGAGCCACCAATCCCGCGATGCACCACTCAGCTGTGGTGGAAGATGTACACCCCCTCTCCCTGTGGTTGGATCAATAAAAATAATTGACAAAAAATAAAAGAAAGGTCGTGAAAGCGGGGGGCCGCAAGTGGAGCCGTCGTAAGTCGGGGGTCACCTGCACTTGGCATACATAATCTAGGAGGAAGGCCTGCATGGTACATGCAAAGCTCATGTTGTCATGCTTATACTTTCCACTTGAGTCACTAAGATATCCGGAGGTGTAAGCCGCGCAGATTATGCATAGCTGTGAAGCTTGACACAGTTTTCTGCACAGGAATGTTCACAGTATATGGTCAACGCACGAAGCATAATCAGGCCTATGCTGCAGGCACAGTTGTGTAATTATGAATGCAAAGCCTTGGGTGAGCTGAGCAAGAATGTTGCCGATTATCGGGGTACAGGTTAGCAGCAGTGTAGGGGCCCAACATTACAATTTCCGTGTTATCTCGTTCGCTCTGCAGGAACATTCAGAAGGAGGACCGGCTGTCCATGGAGGACGAGTACAAGGAGTACAAGCAGGTGAAGGCAAAGCAGCGGCTGCTGGAGGCACTGATCACCAAGCACGACGCCTGCAAGGGCGTATGAGGCTGCATGCGTGTGTGCACGCACTGCACGACCTGGACCCCCGTTCCGCCCTCGCCACGCATATGTCGCGGGGGTACGGCGAGCAGCTCGTGAGGATCGCGAGCCCCGCTTCAACGTCGAGAAAAATAAAATGAAATAAAATCACGAAGGAAAAACTCAGCAGCGGATCCCCTGGGAGAGACACGATATCACCCCGTTAGGTGGGCTTTGTAGGTGGTGGGTAGAAGGGTAGGTGGGTGTATGGCAGGTACAATGGTTTGTAGGTGGTGGGTAGAAGGGTAGGTGGGTGTATGGCAGGTACAATGGTTTGTAGGTGGTGGGTAGAAGGGTAGGTGGGTGTATGGCAGGTACAATGGTTTGTAGGTGGTGGGTAGAAGGGTAGGTGGGTGTATGGCAGGTACAATGGTTTGTAGGTGGTGGGTAGAAGGGTAGGTGGGTGTATGGCAGGTACAATGGAGATGCGTGCCCAAGAAAGCCAGATGCCCCCAGTTACTACTTAAGGCTTTGGATTGAGGTATCCACACAAGCGTTTGGAGATGTGAACTGCATGCAGGTTGTATTTCTAAAAACTACATGGAGGAAAGAAGGTCTGATAACAACTGAACGGCAGAGAAACAAATTAATTTCTAGAAGCAAGAGGTGTTTTTTTTCATTCGACATTGCTACATCGGTTGTCTGAAGCTACGATGGAGTCCCGCGATGGGCTATGCACACCAAGACCACTTGCAGCAAGATATCGGAGGCCCATCTGTCGACACAGCACCTGGCTGGTCGAAATCGTATTGACATAATCCAGCGCGGCTGATGGAATGTCTACAGATTAAGTTACGACTGGCCACGATCAAGAATTTGCCAGCCCTGTTTGACGTCAACTGAGATTATGCAATGCACTATTTATTACTTTACAGATATTGGTGGTTGTAGAAGCCATAAAATAAAAACAAGCTGCAAAGACTTGATAGCTTACGTCTTTTCAAGACAGGGTGTGATGCTGACAGTAATGCTGCGTCAGCTATTGTAACTTGTCAGATTTAACGGACTTTTATTTTCTTTGAAAGGACTTTTCTTTTCTTCGAAAACCAACAAGGGCTGAGAAAATACGTAGCAGCCAAACACAAGTCTTCATGTACAAGGGTGTCCATTGAGGTATCATCTATTATTGAAGAAATCCAGTCAGCAATTTTGAGCTGCATGGGTTATGTGAAAGGTATAGTTATTGCAAAAAAAACGAGTAACTTTGATCAGCACATGATGGATGCAATTGTAGCTGATATGATGGGCAAACACTTTAGACTCTCAAGCCTCAATGCGATGTCATTGCCTTTGGTGGACACGTGGAGCCTAAGGGATGAAACTTGTAAATCTTCACTCTAGTAAGTGTCGAGTTTTATTGACTTTATTTAAGCTGTTGACCAATTATATATGTATTTATAATAATCACCTCAATGGACACCCTGTAATGCTGTTACCTCCTTTATGAAGCAAAAAATGAGACAAAAATATTATTAGAAGCAGGTTTTCTGAAATAGAAAAACTTGCAAAAACAAGTCTTAAAACTGGATGGCTGGATGGGTGTGAAGTGTGGGTGTTAGTTATCTGGAGATGCTTTTAAATGGCCAAAAGGGGCCATGTCCAATGATTGTAACATGTTTGTGTGCTAACGGAATCATCTGATACTATTTATTTGTATCCCTGTGAATTCTACATCGCTTGGGCCATGCATGCACACTCTCACGAGCAAACGCCACTTTGTTAATCGGAGAGTGCACACCCAGATCGTTAGACAAAGCCATGGAAGAGTGGCCTGCTCACGCAACCTGTAGGGGACAAATTTGAAGAGCGAGTGCACACTTTCACTTGTGTAGTACAGACAGAGGAGAAGGGGTACTTTGAATCAAAGCTTCAGGGCCTCTTGAACACCCACTTTGCCGATTGGCATGGGAACGCCAAGTCCTCGGGCTGTTCAAACACCTTCGCGAGGTAACGCGTCTGCTTGTGGCACAACGCAGGTTCTCATCTCCAAGCATGCGTGCAGGTTTTCTTTGCGAGTGAACAGGTTTTGGTGTTAAAGGCAAAGAACCCCCCCCCCCCACCCCGTAATGATGCATTGAGACTTACATCATTAGAAAATGTGCCTTTTTTTTCCAAGGCCGCAGCAGACACTGTAGAGGCTGTCAAGACTGCATGTTGTAGGATCCCCAGGTTAATATTTGAGCGCAAAATTTAAATTCGGAGGATCGAGGAAGCGCAGCATTGTGAGATGGGTATTGTGCTGTGCACAATGGTTAATATTCTGCTGCGGTTGGACATAAGTGGTAGAGTGTTACACTATGTAATCGCATTAGGTTCTGCTGCAGCTTAATCGGCTGTTTTTATAAGGACATAGAACACACTTGATACCCCAAGTTAAACTCTTCCAGAACACTTCAGCTCTTGGCACTTTGAAGAGGGTATTTTTGTATGTTGAATATTCGACATTTTGTTGCGTGTCCTTCGTCTTTTCACGTCATTCCATTGTGAAGGGCATTAATTGCAAATGGCACGGATCACTTTTTTTTCTGCGTTGTCGGAGTCGTTCGTGTTGTTTGACGAGCACGTTAATGGGGGGGGCGCGGCCGCTTGCGGTGGCAGCGGCATCATCATTAAACTTTCGCTGAGATTGTGTTTGACCTAAGTCTTTAATGCAATAAAAAATATATATATAACAGAGCTGCCAGTGTTTCAAAGACAGAGCCTAATCATATTCAGAGCGTGTACCTGTCTGCAACAATCAATTGTATCAAAACAATAATTAAGAGAACAAGCATGTAGCAAGAGCTATGCAGAAATTATTAATTATTAGACAAGTACATTGTCATGGGTGTTTAAGGCAGATGTAATGCAATAAGAGTAAGACAATTGGACTTTAGATTTAATACAAATGTGTTCTGCTCACAAACAGCAGGGAGGTAACTCCCATTATGCCTTGCATGCACGTCATGTGACCACCGCATTGCATATAATGCACTCTTAGCCCTGTCTAAGCCACCAACTTGGAAACCGAGCGTGGGGCTGTTTTAATGTTGAGGCTACCAAGTCAATTTGAGTTAAAAACTGGCCATCCCAATAGACAAGGTCCAGAGCATTGTAGATACCATGTGGTGATGGGAGTTGTGCCTTCCTTACTGTTTGTGTGCAGCACAGCTTTGTGTTTTATTAAATCTAATTGCGTCCAGCCTGCACAAATTCTCCTGCCATGATGGGCTTTCTCAATTTACAGAAAGTCCCAGATCTGATAAGTTGGGAGTTTGCTAAAGCAACTCCAAAAGAAGCGTCTTGCCTGTGCATACAGCTGTACATATATTTAATGAAAGTATCGAGAAAATAAATGTTTAAATTCAGAATGAAAGATGGCTGGAGTGTTATCGATGTTATCCAAGAGACAAAGTTACAGGATGGAGGAGGGCATGCCACCGAGTCAGTCATTGTTAGAGCAGACCTTGGAAATTGGATGACTACTCTCCAACAACTATTCGATCTATAAGGTATTAACAAGCATTCAGCATGCTCCCCACCTTTGTAAATCCCATTGACCAAAGTTAAGTATTATTAAATAATCCCTACGACCCACCCAGCGCGCATCCAACAGTGGACGTGACAAAGGGCCGTATGTGCCACTTGCAATCAGGAGCTAGATTTATATGATGCCTCCCTACCAAGATTTGGACTTGTAACCCCAAACTGTGAATCGCATGCTCTTATTAATCACCGCAACACATGGCGTGGTGCTGCGGTGTGCACGTCGAGATGAGCAGGTGCCGCGTGTTGCACTCCCAACCAAATGAAAGCCCTCCGGACACGGTACTCCAAACAACATTTATTGCCTCACGCACTACAGTACAGTTGAAACATGACCACAGCCAGCGACGTATTAGCGCACGCGCGGAACTTAATGCACGAAAAAACGCACAATAAATGAGAGCTCACGATGGCAGTACATGCCAATGCTCTTTCGCTAAATATTATTCACTGCACTCGTGGGGAATACTGCAGGCTCGGAACAAGCATGACGCAGGTGAAGCCACCGCATCCCTTGAAGCGGCGAATGTTTCCGCCTCGTGTTTTGCGCTGTGTTAATTTAGTCAACATTCTGGTCCGATAGCCTTAATCTAGCAGATGACAACCTGTGCAATGTTTAAGACGCCTTTGTGGATTTCATTTAGTCATTTAACATCTGGAGTAAATCGTGACTAGATTAACACGGCAGTGTTGGTTTAGTCGGCGTTAAATTACTAAATGAAATCCACAGACGAAGTCTTGACAAAAAAATTCCACAAGTTGTCACCGACTCGACTAATATCACAGTGCTGGTTTATTTTACACCATCGGTTATCATAACGTGCCCTTAACGAGTGCTTTTCCGTCCTCACTCTCCGACTCTGAGAAGAGGAGGCTCAAGCGCTGACTATAGCTTGGCCCGTCCGATCCTCCTGCACGCAATCGTTTAGAGTGGAGGTGGGTGAGAGGCGTTTCCCCAAGTGAAACACGCACGATTAGCGAGATCAAGATATCAAGCTGTTCTGGCGACACTGACGACGCCGGGTCGCGCGTGACTGCGTCCTCCTTAATCCCCCCCCTCAAGAGTATGAGCATTTACTACGTCTCCAAAGCAATGTTTTACAACGGAAGCCAAACTACGATAGTTTACATAAGCTAAAACAGATTCATTTAGATAGACCATATTCTGATATGTAAAGCTTTTATACTTTAGCGATGCCGATTAACAATGATGTGAATAACTTTCATGCTTCTCAACGCTACTGTTTAACAGGACTTGCTTTTTTGAATCTCTTTTTTTTTTCATTTAGTAACATACGCAGATACACTCCTGTGCTTAACTACTGAGTTAGTCAGCACAACACTCTCGGGTGTGCAACTGACCAACTTCACAAGCATGCTCTTTTGATTAAATAGGTGTTATAATGGTGTGACGAGGTCACCGTGTTTGTTAAGCCCTGGCAGTGATAGGCGTGTGTCCTGCAAGTTGATTAGATTGCCCCCTTTTGTAGGTGTTTACAGAAAACATCATGCACTTTATCAAGAACCTGCCACTAAACCAAAATATCCAGAACTTTACTTGTACACATTCAACCTCAATTAAAAAGAATAGTGAAGCGCCATAGATGAATACAATTTTCATTTATATGAGCCAATATTTGTTGACTATAATAGGCTAAAGGACAGTTCACCGTTCATTTGTTCGAATACAACACTGTTAAACATTTGGAACAAAAAAACATTTTACGCTTCGCCTTATTAAATAGCTGAATAATGCAAACCACAGAAGTGTGCAAATTATAAAATATTTAAAAGTAAAAGTACGATGTTGTGCAAGTGCCTAAGTGTTTAAATAATCATTGGTTAACAATTATGTTATTTAAATTGGGGAAAAAAAAAATCCTCTCCGCGTGAGACGCATGCCTCCTAGTGGCTGTCTCGCGAGAGTCAGATCAACTTTCGTCCTACAGCCCTGCCCATAGGCCTGAATGCACCGCACCACAATCCCACTGACCAGCCCCTAAAACGGTCACCACACCATGTCTGAACCACGTCCTCACACCAAAAATCACATCCCCATGCCCTAAATCTACAGGTTTTACATCTGACAGCCCTCCCAGCGACCCGGAGAAAACCTTCGATTCTACCCACGTTCTCCTGCCCTTGTCATTGTATCATCTGTCGTGGGAAGAAAAAAAAATGTATTGTTGTGTTCGTTGGAAAGAGAATGGTCGTGCGGGCAAATATAACCAGGCTGGGGACTCCCACCAGGTGAGAGCATAACACAGAGTGACCCGTCAGAGGTTAAAACCCGTTTAAACAACAACGATGTTGACGGCTACAAACCTGCCGCCGCCACTCGAGCCCTCGTCGCCACCTCATGCCGGACGCACTTGAATCTGGAGAGACGGGTAGCAGGGCGGGCATAGGATGGAGAAGCCGGACGGAGAGGACGGGCGGGCTGGCGGGCGGGCAGGCTGCCTGACTGCCTCACTGGCAGGAAGGGCCTTACCGACCCACGCTGATGTTGCAAATCTTGCAGCTGGGGTCCTTCTTGGCGTTGGCTGTGGACAGGCTCATGAGCTGGTGGCCTTTGATCTGGCCCAGCTTGCCCCTGGCTATGTCCAGCGGCTCCGCGTAGATCACCTCCAATATCACGTCCTGGCGGCACACGGCAAAACGTTGTGGTGAACCCGGCACCCGGTTTGCTTCTGCCGGTTTAAAATCGTTGCGACCTAAGATATAACTCCAAGACTGCAGTGTACTGTTCCCAGAGGAAATACCTGTGGTTGGACAATCCTTATTCTCCTTTAATGCATCACACTTAAATTGCACTTAAATTAAATTAAACATTTAGTTGTTTATGTAACGTTTGATCTAAATTACGTCGTATTTCATCATTGTCCAAGTTTATCCATTTTTTTCAATGTTAAATCATCACTTCAAACTTTTTTCTGCTCCAGTTTATTTGGTTGTCTACCAATTTCGTTGATTTAACATTTATGTTGTGAACTTTGATGTCACCAAGGTCACCCATTGTGAATGATAGCATGCTTATGTGTTTGTCCAGCTCATGGTGAGATCACTTTTTTTGGTTAGAGGAAGATACAAAACCAAAACAACAATCGTCTGTTGTAGATAAACACCCATGTTGTGTGTGTCTGACAACAGTTAGAAATATGGCTAATTACACTCTAAGTTGTAGCTTCATGTAATCATAGTTTCTTGTGAGATCTCTGTGACATTAATGTAGCACACGTTGATAACAATGTCCATGCAGTAACATCATGATAGTGACTCATATTGGTCAACGTTGAGAAACAAGAGCCTGGATGTGTGTGGATATACTAGAGCTGTAAATCTTTTCGGGTTTCCATATTCATCTAAACTACTGCCATAATTCTGTTTTTGAAGCGTTGCCAAAGGATGTAACATATGCGCAGGACATAAAAACGCGTTATTTAGCTCCGACAAACAACTGCTCCCGTTACCGACGAGTGCTCGTCAATGGACGTTATGCTGTCAGGGTGACATTGCAGATGAGGTGGTAAATTCTGTGTAGTAAATTGTCAAGCAAAAACACAGCGTACTCCGTAAACTAGATCCAGGATGATTAATGCATGGTGAGAAAGATGAGAGGTGGCACCGGATAAATGGTACAATGTTTCCTTGGCTCACACACAGCGCACCAAGCAAAACTTAATACAGCCTCGTCATTCGGCAATTTAACTTTGTGGCCCGTTTCACCGTGGCATTGTACAAAGTTGGCTATGACTTCATGGCTCGTTAAGAATGTTGGTACGAATATAATGTTCTGGCCCAGGTACAAAAACACGATGTACTGTGCTACAGTTTTATATGTGGCTGTAGTGGAAGGCACCTGCATGCCCCCACAAGTGATCGCAAGAGACGCGCCTCCTTTCCGCTCCTGCGCTGTCGCCCATGCCGCTATCGATAAAAGGCCACCCCATAAGTACCGCTTCTTGAGCGTCGATTTACTGCACCTCTCTTCCCAGCCGCCAGCCCTTCACCCTGCGCTCTCACATTCACAGGCCGTGGGCGTGACGTGGCCGTACCTGTGCATGGTGATACACCGCCTCGCCGTCACCGGCATTCCCATCAGCGCCCTCGGCAGCGCACGGAGCCACGGACCGCGTCAGGAAGCGGTTGGTGGCCGGGTCGAGCAGCGGCAGGCGCTCGCGACAGAAGAGGTCGCCCTCCGAGCCCTCGGGAGCCAGCACCAGCACCACGTAGTGATACGCTGTGTACATGCAGTAGAAGTCGGCGAAGTAGAGGTTTGTGCTGGGGCTGAAGAGCTCGGCGGCCGTCACCTCGAAGCGGTAGCGACCATAGGGCGAGTCGGTCGGCGGCTGGCCCGTGTTAAACTCCGTGTTGCAGCTCATGAAGACGCCGTGCAGCTTTCCGCTGATGGGAGAGCCGTGGCTCCCACTGTTGTCCTTCACGGAGGTCGGCATGGTGTTGGAGCATGACTCCCTGTTCAGGAAAGGGATGAGCGATAATTAACAGTGGAGTTTATTGCTTTCAAGTGGAGCGGCGGCGCAGTGATTTGCGTGCCTGCACAATGGACCCGGGCAGAGATGCACCCAGCGGGGGGGGGGGGGGGGGAAGGGCACTGCTGGATGAAGGCCTCCCCACAACCCTTTCAGTTGTGGGGGTCGTTTGGTCATACCTCACGCTGGTAAATGCGGATTGGATCTGGCTCCATCTATACGGAGATAGAATGTTGCCCCCTCGCATGTGTGTTTTTTCTCCGGGTGCTCCAGTTTCCTCCCATACCTTATAAACACTCATAAAATTGGCTGAGACATTAAAATTCAAACCCCGTGCAGGACTTTCCTGAAAAAGATCCCTTGTGGCTTTCATGGATAAATAAACGAGTGGTTAATATTGGTGGAGGGGTGGACCGTGCCAGGACTGGTTCAGATATCACTCACCACTCATGTTATTCGAGGAATGAAACGTAGTTGGCTGGGTTCATCGCAGAGAGCGCGAAACACTGCACACAACTGCTCCCACCTGTTATCATTTTTTACGTCAAGAAATTTGGCTTTTAGTTATTCTTACCTCCATTACTCTTTCCGTGGAAGAAACTAATGTATCAGTTTTGTAAACGAAGTGACGCTAGTGCGAACCAGCAAGTCACAATATATAGTAGATGCTCCAAGGAAAATGCAACCTTTGTTTATAAAACCATGACCCGAGTGTGGAACACTAGAAAATGTAAATTGTAATTGTAAATTTTGCACTGGAATTGGCAGAATTAGCACCCTATGTCTACATGTAGAACAAGGTATCTGTTTATAATAACAGCAATGGTGCCATAAGTTAATGCTTTTTTGGTTTGTGCCCTTTAGATATGCAAGCATAAAATTTTGCAATCATACACCTGAAATATCTCGGCTATATATTAACAAAAATGTTCATTGTTTGCATGAAATGTATGTCAAACAGTAGCCCGTAACCATATACTGCAGGAAATTAAGGATCGTCGATATTTGTGTTTTTGCAGAACATGCACACAATAGATGTTTTTTTGCAACATCGCAAAACCTTTAACAGCCATTTTTAAAGGCAACAGTGCAATCTGTTAAACTGCTGCCGAAATTACCACGTATCTGCAGGAATTCAGCCGTGAGCTCTGTGGAAAATGCCTTAGTGGCCAGAACACGGGCCACGAAGGGTGAATTGTCACAGTCAATTTTACATCATTAGGGCCCATTTTATATCACGCTGTTCGCTTATTATGCGTGACCTATGACCACTGTTCACAGCGAATAGATCAAGCCCAGACTGTGAATTTGTTCATAAGGAAACGTTTAGATCTGCCAATGAGGGAGGGCAATTACAGTGCTCTCACAATGCGGAAGGGGTGGAGACGTGAGATTGGATCATCTTGGCTTGATAAATGATTTAACATATGCCATTCGGGAGAAATGGTTTCAGTCGGTTGCCAGTGATTCCGCTACAACATTTTAAGGGAAATATTTCGTGGAACCATTCACCTGTCCCGGAAGTGTGCGCCTCTAGCCGTGAGAAAGAGAGCATTTCTGAAAATGTTCGAGCCTCAAGATAAATGCTTGACACCGAAGAGCGCCACGAATCACAAAGTTGACAACAAAAAAATAAGCGTCCACCTCGGATAAAAAAAAAATCAACACCACAACTGGCACCGTGAGAGTGACTAGGGCTCGTGTGAGACGAACCTCACAAAGTCAAAGTACTCCTTGTTCTGGTTCCGGTAGAAGACGGTCAAGGGAAGCATCCGGCCTGCCGCCGACTCTGCCTTCTCCAGGAGCTGTGCCATGTGCGCCTTGGAGTAGTCTGCAGAGGCAACAGCAGTGGTGGTACCAGCAGCAGCAACAGTAGGATTACAAGAGCAGCAACAGAGACAGCAGCAACAGCAGCAATAGGGCAGCAGCGGCACTTGCGTAGAGTCACGACCGTTCAGCCTGAACTCAGCCTCACAGTGGCCAGTTCCCCATGGCAACTGCAACAATGTTTATTCACGTTCTAAGGTTTTTTTTTTTTAAAGATTGAATGTAAAAGGTAAAAAACTCGGCTGGTAGATATATAATTAGGATATGTATCCCGGGGCTCTCGGACTCAAGTTTGAAGCTTCGTGAATGAAAAAGACTTTAATCTTACAGCCAAGCTACTCATTTGGTGAAGGGCACCCCCTTGCCCCAAGGATACCCCGAGACTCGTTGGCGCTGCCCTTGCTTTGTCACTGTTGGTGCTGGGCCCCGATTCCCAGTTGGCTCGTCCCAAGCTGTGCCACGGGCATTGTCCTCTCTCCTGTCTATCGTGCTGCCTTGCCTCCTTCTACCCAGATGTCGTGCTCAATTTTTTAAACGTCCTGAGATTGAATTGCATTAACAAGCTATTCGAAATTAAATCGTGAATATTAAGTGCACCATTACAGCACTCGAGCGACATCGCCGTGCAATTACAAAATTTCATAATTTACTGCAGCTGCCCCACGGCTGACTCTCGGCAGCTGCATGGATGCTGTGGGGTTTGGCAGTGCGGCCCTCGCCTGCGGTGCAGAACTCGACGATGGAGCTCCACTCGGACACCAGGTAGTCCCCGTCGTGCTGCTTGCAGGCCGTCTGCACAGCTACTGTGTACTCGGTGCGCGGGCTGAGGAACCAGTGGCCCCGTACCGTCATGGGTAGCAGCACTGCCTTGGCCACCAGCTTGGTGGGCACGTCCTGTGGGCACGACGGGCGGCCACGACCACTTGGCGAGTGAGCAAAACCCAGAGGTCATCCTCCTGTTGAGACTTCACCATATGCACAACTCTGATGGGACGCCTTTTGGCGTCATTTTGGACGCCTTTTGGCGTCATTTTGGACGCCTTTTGGCATCATCTGGTCGAGCACCAATTGGGTCGAGGCTCAAAAGAAAGCCGTCCCTTGGTGTGGACCAATCAGTTTCAAGGACAATGCATATATTATCATAGTATGTTTTTTTTATTTGCATTTTGACTGCAAGTATTGTGGTTAATGCAGACATGAATCCTTGTAAAAAGGTTTCAGTTTTGTTGCCATAAAAAAGGGGGAAAACCCTATTATCATATTTTGGTACTGGCAAAGGAGGTCTAATGATATACCTTTTGTATCCCCTGGAAAGAGTCAACATTTCAGGTTTATTTAGTTTAAGCTGGTGAGAACTCATGGGACCAGGGTCTCATTTTGAAAAGTAATCTGAGGCATTAGCTTGCCAGTAGGGGGCCATAATTGCTATGTATATTGCCAATTCAGTAATTTACGCTTTTGCCAAAGTGGGACTTTGACGCCGGCACACAATGGCCTACTCCTGCGAATCAGGGGATCTTTAATGTCCACTGTGAAGCAGATGCTGCGTAGTATTATGGTGATTACACCCACAGGAGTTGAAATCCGGGCGACTGCTGGATTAGAACCAAGAACCTCTGCAACAACACTAACCCCTACCGCTAGGCCATGCTGCTGCCATGTCAACCAAACCAGAAAATATAATCCTCAGAGATGAAATAAGCCAAGTAAAGTAAAACACCGTACGGCAATCCCTATCCAACCACGTGGTAAGGGTTCTGGAAAACTCCGGTGGCTGGCAAGACTAAAGGCTTATGGGAAATAGGGGGTTAGGTTCCGCGGCCGCAATTAACACTCCCATCGAAGCCTAACTACACATCGTATGCATTCAGTATACATGAGAAATATGCTTACGTAACAAAAATAACTTTCATATTAATATTAAAACAAAACTACGTTCAATTACCTTTAATATTGATAGTGAAGTCCAGATAATGATGACAATGACGATGATGACGCTGATGGTGATGTTAGGGGAGGAGGGGGGTTGGCAATGAGGGGCTGTCCCCGTCCTCAGAACTTGTTTATCTGAAGGTAAGCCATTCTCCTTGCATAACTTCTCATTACGCACACCTTCGCCACCAGCTCGACGCGTAGGGGCCACGATTATGGGCGGCAATTAGTGGTGTTTTTCAGAAATTGCAGTACACTCTCACGAGGAATAAATTACAGCACTACGCTTTCACGACTGCTGCACACCACTGAACGACGCGGCCTAGCGTGAGGTACACGCGCTTGATGCGCCCCTGGTGACAGACGCCTGAACATGGCTGGAAATGTGAAATGACGGGTGGCGAAAAACCAAACGGTGGTTACGCGAAACTGTATACCGTGTTTGGCAAAATGGGATGCATAGAATTATGCGTGGATACTCGAAACCATGATTGGCGAGGGACTGCTGTACTTTATATCATGTTTGTGTAGTCACCAAAAACACCAACTCGCCGCACTTAATCACAGGTGGCTAAAATCCCAACTCGAACGCAGGATCTCAGCGGTGCCGGCTGAGTCGTTGACAGCATTAATCCTCCTGAGCCATCCAGCCACCTCTATTCTGCTTCAATCTGATGGGGGTGCTGGCTCAGGCCTTTAATCTGGCACTTTGGACAAGGGTTGGTTGGGTTATATCAATTCGTAAAAAAAAACCCACTGGGCCATGAGGTGGCTCTAGGTGATGGCAGTACGGCAGATGGGTTGTGAAGCTGTGGTATCCCCTCATAGGCATGGTGAGTATTCTCTGATAATTCCTGTATCTTCCCACATGCAAAACACCCATTCATGGAATTGAGCAAATAATCCAAATGAAGGACATTCCTGAAAAATAAGTTTTAGACTGCATTACACTTACCTAGATAAATAACAAACATTATTACCTATGATCAAATCACGTGGAAGCCTAGATATTGATGGGATTGGAAACCACCACGCAGAAAAAAATATATTCTTCTGCAGAGCTATGTTTTCAGTGTAGATTCGTGCAACAAAATGCATTGCTGTACTGTACTATACTCCTACATCTATGCATTCTTCCTTCACCGTGGTGTATGGTAAAACAACTCCCTATATTTCCATTATAATAGTTGGTAGTTGGTTAAATGAGAACCTCATTGATGCTGCACACCCCCAGTGGTGGCAAGATGTTAACTACCTCGTTTGGTATGCAGGAGGTCGTGGGTTCGATCCCGACCCTGACGCCTATATATTTGGAGTTTGCATGTGCTCCCTCCCCGTGGTTCCGTAGATTTTTCTCCGATTCTCTGGTTTTTCCCCTCCATATTTAGAATCAACGTGAATTTGGAGTATTTGGCTTGTATACATTTCCATGTGATGAGCCACTTCGTTGAGCTATTATTTGTGACCAGGTTGCTTCTGAAAAAGAGCTATATAGCTCAGTGGGCCTTGCCTGGTAAAATAAAATAAAAATAGTGCATAGTTGATAGTTTTACTTTGCCTTGTCAACAAAGTGATTCACACGGCTCACCTTGTGCTTGAACTTGTTGGAGTTCTTGTTCTCCTTCTTATTGAGGTCGATGAAGTAGTGGGTGACACGTTCCCGGTCCCGTGGCTCCATGTCCCAGCGGATGCGGAAAGAGTCGCACGTGATGTTGCTGATCTGGATGTTGTGCGGCACCGACAGCTCCTCCATCTCACCGATGCCGCTGTCGCGGGACTTGCTGTCTGCGGTACACACAGCACGCCGCGGAGAGGGTTAGCAAACTGTCATGATTTTTCCCCAGGATCGTCATCTTTTTTTAAAAATGTAGCCGATGTCCTGGGAAAACCTCAAATTGTTCTCGGGGACATTAAAAGTCGCAGGGTTTTTTTAATATATATAATATTCATCGATCAGTCGATTGATAAACTGAAAATTGTAACTACTTAACGTAGTCGAATACTTAGGCCCCGATAAATATGGCACCCACCCTGACATCCTGCCTTCTGAAGGTGGGAAACCCCTTACAAGCCACACACACCCAGTGGTGATGGGGCTGATTATGCCAATGGTATCACCAAGCAACGCCCATCACCTCCTTTCCAGTGGCACACCATGTGAACAGAGCTTAGACTTTTGCTCCGGAACTATTTTTGTATAATCCTGTTAGCTGAGTAATAGAACCGATAATCGGTACAGTAATTGGTTACTTCAAATTATAATCAGATATCCCAGGTTCAGTAGCAATGTTATTCATAATCCATGTGTTAATTTTGCTTGTGAGAATAAATCCCGATTTTTGTGAATCATATGTGAATGTGAAATTTAGGCGAATGGCGCATACAAAAAAATGTAACAAAAGTTTGTTGTCCTTCCCCCACACCTCCGATTAGCACGGTTGGCTATGTACGGTGCGACATAAGTTTAACATACATACAATACAGACCAGACATTTTTACTCAAAATTATTGATTTTGGAATCGAATCATGACGAGTTGTCAGATTTCAATGGCGATGAATCTTTCCGGGTCTGCAATATAACTTTACAAAATATTTTTACATCGCTAGTCACCCAAAATATATCAGCCATGATCTATCCACTGCTGGATGAAGTCCCCACCAAGCCGTCGACAATATCAAGGTCTCCAGATGCAACAATCCATCTAGGTCCCTCTTATGAGCAGATTTCATCGCTCCGCCTCTGTGGTGGATGTGCTCTTAACGTCTCTATTTCTCCCTTGGCTGCCACTCTGCTGTTAGGCTTGACCACCAGCCATCAACACTTCCAGCGAAATGTCCTGCCAAAGCCCACTTTTATACCACTCAATATGATGTTTTTAACCCGTATGTATTCCTCTTATCTGTGTGTTCCTCTTCGTGTCTCAAAGTGTAATCTCAAGCATGCACCTCAAGTTTCAAGTTTATCATGTTTAACTGGATAAGAACTCAAGAGACCAGGATAGTCTCATTTGCAAGAGTGACCTGGGGTATTCGTCTGCCAGTAGGGGGGCAATGATTGCTATTATCATAATTGAATACATTAGCAGTTAACTTTAGAATTTGGAACATTTTGACCCTCCCCATGCAATTTTGCACATTTACACTGCACATTTAGTAACAAAATACTAAATGTAAAGCCAATGATTTGGTGATACTGCATTGGCAGTGGTGCACAAGCACATAACAAAAAACGCAACACATTCATCAATAAGACTGCGGCAACTTGTCATATAATAGGCGCCGTTTCAGGCAATGACCCAAAAACCCCACTTCACAGAACATCGAGAGGGCAGAGAGAGTGGCTTCTCTACGCAGTCGAATGGGCATTGCCCAAAGTCGCCTTTTATATGAAACCCTGAGTGAAACCCTAGTTTAACTGTCAGAGGTATGAATCTTCAAGCTTTAAATGTGTGTGCCTCTGTGTGTGGGGAGCGGTAGTTTAGCGGCTAGTGCGCTGCGCTACGACCCTGGCGACCTGAGTTCGATTCCCACTCATGGCCAACACCAGTGACGATTATCTGAATCGGTCCTGGGCCTCTCCTCGGTCGACTCAGCCTCAAATAAGTTCCTGGTGCGGTGTGTAAAACAACAGGGCCGCTCGGGAGACAAAGGCCGTCGGGCGTGGTGCTCGCCACCCACCCCCTCATGTACCGGGCTGGCCTTCATAGGTGCTCGATAACAGCGCTTGCCCGAGCAGTCTGTTCAGGCTATACGGGGGGTCTTTGTCAGTGGCGAGTGGTATCTGATCCTGTACTGGGTATGCCTTGGGTCGACCCAGCCTTAAGCACCTCGTACTGCAATAGGGAGACAAACATGGTCCAGCTTGGTGCGGTCCATCCCACTCCTTCATGCCCTGCATCAGCCTTAACGGGTGCTCGCTAACAGCACTTGCTGCAACAGGGGATCTGTGTGTGAGCATGTGTGCCTCTAATCTCTTTTCCCCCTGTAATCTCTTTTGCCTTTGTTGAGCACAAACAATCTTGAAGGTCACGCGCATAGAGGAGTTGAAAAAAGTTTGCCATCCACTTCCTGTAAGGATGGGCACCTCATCAGAGCTGCTCATGCTGCCCTGCTTGGTGAATATTTCAGCCAAAAATAGACCCCCGCTCGCCTTCATCTCATTACCGCAAATCCCCAGAGCCAATTTTATTGTCTACTTGAAATGCTCGGCAGTGGGAGAGTTGCCACAAGTGGAGAGAGAGGCCTTCACTGCATGCCGTACGCGGTGATGTTCAATTCTTTACATTGCACATTGCTTGCCTGCAAGCGACCAGCTTCATACACGGGAGCTCAATTCGCGTGTTATTGGCGAATTTTTATTTTTATCGAGTTTTAGCAAAATTGTGCCAATGCCTCTTTCAGCAACAATGGGGGAGGGGGGGGGGAGAATCGCCATGAAGATGCTTTTCAGTCGCTTCGTCAAAATGTGAACCTAGCACTACGGGGTGTAGCTATCGGGAGAGTAGGCAGTGCAACTGCACCATGGCCCTCAAGCCAGAGAGGCCCGGTGTGTGGCCCACGAAGAAGGGAGGAAGGTGGACACAGTGGTAAAATTGTATTTCCTTACGCCGGGGCTCATGACAACCTTGCTATATCACCGAGCATGTCCACATACACCTAGACCCACCCATCTTACACCTCGAGGTCTCCTGTAAATTCAACGTTCAGCTGTTTCCGAGATTACCTCTCTGCGATCTGAAACATTTCCCCATTCGCCCGTGTAGGGCAGCGCTGCTCGCATTGTGTAACGCTGCACGAGTTGGTTGATTAATGCGGACTGCCTTTGATTCATCAACGGGAATTATCGCACAGCACGCACCTCGCATGAGCCACGGTTAAATAAAGTCACACACACACGCGCGCGCACACGTGTCGCGTGCATCACAGTGTCTGTGTGCATCAACACGCTGTTGCCAAATTTGGACCATTCTTGCAAATGTCATCTTGAACGTCCACCGAGTGAAGCGGACGGCATGCGGTTGGGTTCTGTTACAGGTCGGTACGCCCGCAATAATAATAATAATCGGGGTGGCTGCTGGATTCGAACCACGAACTTCCGCGACAAAGCGGCGAGCCGCTTGCGTCGAGGTTGCCGCACGCATCGTCACGACGTCGCGCGAGATTCAATTAAAGCAAGACCCTGGAGTGGGAGCGAAAAAATAACTCAATCTGCCGCGGTCTCACTGGCCAGGTTCACGGCGGCCACTCGGACGCCCGGGGCCATTGGACGCCGCTGACGGCTACAATGGAGGCAGATGTGTTTGTATGAGCAACGTGACAAATGGAGCTCACGTCTGCAGGGACATGCAAATCGAGTGCCATTTTACAATCGCGGGCACAATGCGATGCCAGCTCCCTGAGAAGGCTACAGATCCTGCAGCTCACTGGGGCACTTAAAGAAAGCATCCGCACATGGTACATGTTCCGTGTGTGTGTGTATATTATATTGCATTTCTATATGTACGGTTACATGTACCGGCTGTTTTGTCAATCCACTGCTGGATGAGAGCACCCCCCACCCCCCCAGTGATGTGGGTCATGGGAATTGTTTGACGATAACTACACCACAGGAAGTATATACGTGGTGGGATAGAAGTACATTACGACAATGGGTTTTGCTGCACTGCCCTTCACTGATCGCCTCTTAGCCCTGTGGCAACTTGTTTGTGCATGGTGGTGAAAGATGGCTTGTGATTAAAAAAAATCTGAAATAAAGACGAAAGGAGAGAAGGTTCTGGTGCTTTTGGGGAATAAAAATGCGACTGATGTGACCAAGTTTTCAATCAGTGCCATAACACCTGCTCCGACATGGATGGGACACATGGATACTGACGAAGAAAATGGAAAGTAGTAGCATAATGGAGATGCATGCTGGGAATTACACCGAAAGAGAGCAAAAGGGACGGAAAGAATTAGAGACGAAAATTCACATTAGACACTTCATATTTGAACGTTACGAGGGAGACTGCATGTTTAACTATGATTTACAATGCAGGAGAGCGCGACATCGCAAGACCTTGATGAATGACGATGCTTCCCTTCATTCAGCAGTGGATAAACAATGGCCGATGATGAAACGTGTTGTGTAAACATGCTCGCATGCGTTGTACAGTGTGTTGACACTTATGCACAAGGCCATGAAATCTTTATGAAACCGCTCACTCAACGCCCACTCGACAACCCAACCAGCTCCTCACTCTAGCCCCTGACTATTAACAAGCCCCCTTTCCCCACATCCAGTTGTCCTCCCCCATCCTCAGCACCCTCCCTTGAAAGCTGTTCTCTCAAACCACACGAGGCGTCATCCTCACTCTTCCCCTCCTCCAACGTGCCCCACAGACCATGCGCACTTTAACAATGGAAACACTTTTCGTGAACTGACCGAAAGGGGGCCCTGGAGAAATGTGTATACAGGCAGACAAACTCGTACAAGCTTTGTATATGCAGCTGTTACACAATAAATAAAAAAGACATCCACAGTACTGGCATAGCCATTGAGTGTGCAGGCGGTGCAATTGCACCGCGATCCAGGACCCCCCCCCACCCACCAAGTGTATTTTTTTTTTACCCTGTTACACCACGGTCCATACACATTCATGATAATAACACAACATTTAACATTTTCAGGATATAGGCACTAAGCCCTTGTAAGCCAGTAATGTTTGCAAAAATACAACTTCACCATTAGTTTTTGCACCAACAATTGTACAGTAGTTACGGAAATTACTAGATTTAACTTTCTACGAGTGCTCTTCCAAATAAATAATAGAAGACGGACACGGCATAAACTAGACGAACAATCATTACCGCCAGCCTTACCGTCAATCCAGACAGACGATCAAGGCTTGCCTTGGACTGATGCGAGAATTAGTGCTCTTGATGTTCCACGCATTAATTTCCCGTCTAAAGGCAAATTTCACATCAAGGATAACCACTGAAACAACTAGAGACCATTCGCTTTGGTTCTTTCGGTAAAGTAACGTAGGTATAGAATAACAAATTAAATCACGACGTTTCGATTGCAACACAAGCAATGACGTGACTTTACCGAAAGCACCAAAGATCATGGATCTCTGCAGTCACGAAAACTTCAAATCTAGATTGAACTAAAGACCATCCCACAAAGTTTAATAATAAGCACTTATCTAAATACCTATTGTAGCTTCAAATTGTTTTCTCTCCCTGCTTGCTAATCACCACTGCACTTAAAGGAACACTCTTTCGCCTGTTCTGCCAGTGCACTTTCAGTGGCGCTCACCTTTGCGTGCAGGAAAATAAAGGACCTGTCAAAGAAATTGAGTTCACGGCGTCATTAGCATTCCGCTTCTCCTAATCCGCCTCCCCAGATGCCCCCCCCCGCCGCCTTCCCTTCTCCCCGGCCCCCTTGCTCGCCCCCCCTAATCGCCTGCCTGGCCACACGCCACATGCAGGCACAAGTGGCGTGGCCCCTGCGGTTTGTGATTCTGCACGAATGCAGGTGGCCGTCCTGCAACGTCGCTTCACGTTCGAACCGGTCTCGGAGTAGAGGCGCAATAATAAACACGCGAAGCGCCTGCGGACCCACAGATAAGAAGACTTCGATCATTTGAGCGCAAACCGCTCTTGCCAGGGTCCACGTCTCTCATTTGGAAAGGTCTCGCATCGCAGCGCCTACTGTACTCTCTGCTGGCCTGCTTAGTATTCCTTGTGAATCCTCGGCCACGGAGGGAGGGGAAGGGCCGAGCTAAGTTTTGTCCGCTTTCATGGACGCCTGGAAACGGTGGCCCCCTTACGTCAACAGTCGACGACAGATTCCCAGAACTGGCTGCGAAGCTTCTATGCGGGCAAATCCACGGCCGAGTGTGGTTCGTCGCGGAGTCAACGCTGTCCTAATTCTCTGGCATGGGCACATGACTGGCAGATCCTCCTCCGAGTCATCCCCAAGCCCCACTGTAATCCTTCACAGGGAAACAGCAGTTGCGTAGCTCCTCGCAAAACCTTTTTTGTGTTTGTTTTAGAGCCGCGTCAAAGAGTGTAGACACAACGTGGCGACGAAACACGAAGAGATTTTGCCTGAGTCGCAACCACGCGACTGGTGACCTGAAAACATTGGCAGCCCGACATTGGCAAAGGATCCCAGGTGTTCGCAAGCCTCTACACTAGTTGATTACAGCACCTGGCGTACGTTTCTCCCGACATTCATCGCTTTGATTAAATTGCTGGGCTGTGAACACGGTGTGGCGAGCGGGACACGATGGCAGTTGCGCAACACATAACAGCGTTGAGACGAGACAAACCCAGCAGACTGCAAATGCGTTATCACTGTCGCCATCAACCAACATTGCCTTAAGAACTGCGAAATAAATGCAGTGGCCGTTTAATGGCTTGTGCAATGACCCTTCATCAACGCAGAGCGAGAGGTTAACGGTCTGGGGGTGATCACATGCAAGGTCGGAATGTGCAGTGATGTTACCTTCAAGGTACAGATCGAGGAAAGGTCTAAGGGTCATGGGTTGTTGCAGGAGTAAACAATTAACATGCCTGTGTCGTGCATAAGCAATGACTTACACTCAGCATTCAATGGCGGAAATTTTAGTAGGCTATTGCGTATATACACATTTTCTGGACTATACGGCAAATATACATTTATTATTTTTGACAAATGTTTGCCAAATGTATGTTTAAACATCAAAAAAAGTTGGTGGCCAGGTTGCTCAGAGGCTGAAACGTTGAGCTTTAATCACTGAGATCCTAGATTTTAATCGTGATGGTTGTCCTGTGAGTAACCCGATTTCTCAAGTGTAGTGTGTTGATGTCACCAATGAGTGCACAAAAAAAACAATTCCATCACAATAAATTCGGTTGTGCGCTTTGATTTGGCAAAAAATTCCAGTTTTGAGAATAAAAAAAAGACAAAAACGCAGTTGTTTGCCGTGAGACGTCATGAGCTGGTGGGAGCGTGCCCCCCACGCCGTGTAACGAGTAAAAAAGGACGCTTGAAGGAGTTTTGAGGGGAGAAGTTCCGGTGAAACGAATCTCTTTGGCGGGCCGCTCTCTGACGCATGCGATGCCGAGCTTGATGCGATTTTCCAAATGTTTTTTTAATCTCACGACATGACGCCAATAACACAACTCGGATAAAATGTGAGGGGGGGGGGGGAGACCGAAACGAATAGAGCAACAAAAGGTTACGGAATCCAATCACATAGAATAATACAATGTAAATGAAAAAGCTATTGATTTGCAATTAGGACCATTCCCGTGTTATTTTGATAAAACAGGAAATCAGTCAGGTACAATTCCATTTCACACACACACACATCCAGCCTGTTACTCTTGGCCACCTTTACTTTACGTGCACAGCACACCCATAATTAATCAGATGATTTCCAAAGCTACCGACTGGACAGTTACTAAGCAGTAATTACATTTACTTGACCTCAGTAAGGTTTAACTGCAGTAGGTGTTTCATATAGATGGGGCCTGGTGTTTTGCCAGTTCAATAAACTAAGTTTGAGATTAACTCAGATTAATTCAAATATTGTATTTAGCCCTTCCTTTGTAAAATATTACTCACGTTTAACAACGTGTGCCATACACAACTGGCTTCTATCGATTACACTTGGGCAGCCGAGAGGAATAGGGCAGCTACTTTGAAAACAAAGTTTTGCAAATCTGGCATTTGCATTTACAGACACAAGACATTTCCACGGGATACACGCACTTTGGTTTGCTCTTTTGCTGCACACTGAAAACAATCTCCATCAGCCTGCACTGACCAGTGTGGTGAAATACAGTCCATCAACCCCCATAGGGAGGAGTCTTGGTAGAGGTTAACAAAGTGATATATTTGTTTTAATTGTTATTTAAAACGTTTAATAATCGTTAATAAGCATTATTAATTTGCAAATTGCATTTTGTTCAGAATCAGAATATGTATTTTTACTGGAGGATCCGATGAGCTATAAAAACTCTTTTTCACAGAGAGTGTATTCCGTTATTGATTTACAAAACGGGAATATACTGTCTTGCAGAATGCATTTAAACCCCAGGCCTCCTTTGAAAAAGAGACTCCTCAATGGACTCTTCTATGGTCATAAATAAAGGGCACCCACATATCTATTCTGGGGTGAAGCAGTGTTGCAGTGGTCAGTGCACTGCACTCCGAACCCCGTGACCTGAATTTTATTCCTGGCCATGGCTAACACCAGTGGCGAGTGACATCTAAACCGGTCCTGGGCCTACCTTCACCAATCCGCACTGACCAGAATGGTGATGTATGATCAAGCAACCCTCAGGGCAAACATGGGATGGGAAGGCCTTCATCCATTGACAAAGCCCTTAAAGTATTTTTTTAAATAATTGATATATCTATGAAACCCTTACCTTTTCAGTTTTTAGTTGAGTGGTAATTATTAATGAAATCGTTTGAGACGAGTGCTGGTCACTAATTGACTGCAAAATCAGCAGGTTGACAAAATATGTAAAATCATCGAGGACACTCGATGGAATGATCAGCCATCTGGCCCATTAGACATCGTGGCAGCAGAAACATTTTGCCTATGTCCCCTGACTTTTTTTATATTTCATGAACTCCGTTATAGAGTTGAGCACACATGCTCCCACGCACGTATTGTGAGCCCACACAAAAACGTGGCATTACTCGTAATATCATGGACAATGGTCTTGGCTCCAGTCACTCACACGTGCACTTCATTTGCAGGTGGCGATGACGCAAATGACCGGCAAGAGCTCTGGACTTTCGCGAGTGCATTGATCATGGCCCACTTTACGAAGCAGTGCCAAACACCAAACCACTCAGGCCTAATACAGGTGGCGAGTTCGTCTCGCGAGGCAAGTAAGGGCACATTCAATTGCGGGTGCTTCAAAATATAACAATATTAGTTTTGGATCAGCCATACGAATACAGAGAACATCCGTACATCTGAAAGTCATAGTGATGCAGGCAGCAGCCCTATTAGTTATCAGATGAAAGTGTGCAGATGCGATGCATTGTGTCTCGGCGTCACGGTCACCTTCGACGGAATAAACCCAAGTTGGCAGTAAAACTCTAAAGCGTGCTTGGGCGAGAGGTTACAGCAACACGTATCTCATGTGCACGTAGCGATCAATGTGAATGCTAGATGTTAAACAATTATTCCCACAAGTAAATGATTTATTAGGGATGTGTACAGTGCAATCACAAGCATTGGCTCGAGCGGTAGCACAGTGGTTTGCACACTTGCGCTATTAAACTGTCAACATGAGTTCCATTCCTGGCAATGGCGAATATAAGTGGCGGGTGATATCTGAACTGGTCCTGGGACTCTCCTTCCCTTCACTGACCCGCACTGAGTCACATGGTGAAGTATGGTCAAACAGCCCCCATATCTTGCATTGCATGGGGTGGCCTTAATTCAGCAGTGGATGGACAAAGGATTGTGTTCCATAATAGAGGTTTTTTTTGGGGTTAGATCGAGTAAATATATAAATGTGTCGTTAAACCCCGCCACCACCCGACACAGCCAACTAGTAAGGGTTGTCACGTAAACAGAACATGCCAATAAGTCACTAGCACAGCACAACGGTGTGTTGGAGAGTCAAGCCACAACATTTACAAACTGAGTACGACGTTTCGCCAGTAATTACAACTAGCTCCATCAGGCGACAGCCAAATTTGTGATACAATATTCATCATAATACTGCAGCACATAATTTAATTAATATTGCATAATGTGATACGATTTTGCTGCTACATTAAACAACATTATATGGCTCTTTACAAAAATGGTGGTCAACACATCTATGCCTCTATATAAGGAACGTAACAATAAGATTTCTCCACAAATCTGTCTGTCGCCTGATGAAGCTAGTTGCAATTACTGGCGAAACGTCGTACTCAGATTGTAAATGTTGTGGCTTGGCTCTCCAACACACCGGTGTGCTGTACTAGTGACGAATTGGCCACGTTCTGTTTACGTGACAACCCTTACTAGTTGGCTGTGTCGGGTGGTGGCGGGTTTTAACGACACATTTATATATTTACGCGATCTAACCCAAAAACTCTATTATGGATGATATTGGTCGTGAAAGGCAACGTGTTAAAAAGGACTGTGTTTTATACAGCATGAAGACAAAACCATTATCGTTATGAACTGTTGATCATACAATATTTATCATAATACTGCAGCACATACTTTAATTAACATTGCATGTGATACGATGTTGCTGCTACATTAAACAACATTATATGACTCCTTCCAAAAATGCAC